TTGGGTTAAACAATTGGTGTTCAATTTATTACAGTTACAGATTCAAAGTTTCACTTCTCCCTAGGCTTTATATTCACCTCACAGAATTTTATTTAGAAATCTAGCAAAATTGAACAATCACTTTCAAGGGGCTTTTGATTAATACTTGATCCTTTTTACCAATTTAAAAACATTTAAATGCTGTATTTTTAAATAGCATCTATAAATTTAATATGTTCTATTTCCCTTTTAAGTTGCCTCATTGATCTACTTAAACAAAATGTTGCTAAGTGCTTAAAAATTGTTACAAATATACTAAACTAAATTCATAGAGTAAACCTAAAGACCTCTTAGATATTATAATAATTTGCATTATTTTAGGAAGATTTCAATGTAAAATCAGAAGTCTGATAATTAAATTATTCATTTTAATTGGTTTTCAAAAATTGATGCTCAAATCAGTCAAATTCCTTAAACCTTAGTAGTACAGAAAAGACCAAATATGAACAAAAATATTAATAGCCTGACTTTGATGCTTTAAACCTTGCTATATTTAACTTTAAGTCTTCCCAGAGTTGGATGATTCATACTCACCAAGGAAGAAAATTACCTGGAAATAACTGAGGCCATTTTCGATCAAATATTTTGGCAGAGCTACAAGTATCCAGAGCAGTTCACATCCTTCCCAGTGTCACACTGAGCCCCTTTTTCGAGAAACTATGTCATGAGTTACAAAACCTAAAAAGGGTTTGGTGTCACAGCTCTCGCCACTCACATCGCTACACACGTTATACACAGCACCTGATTCTTGGTCTCCTCAAGGAAACAGGACAACCAGATTGACCTAAGACAGGTTCATTTATTTTCTGTCTAAATGTTAAAGACATTTTAATTCTATGGAATCTAAAATTTGTACAATGTTTTCTGTCTAATGATACCATTGAACTTTATAGCCTAAAATAAATGTATTTTCTGTTGAAAGATTTTTAAATAAGATACCGGATACATAAATGTCTTTTTTATTTAAAGAACTTTGAACCTAATGGAATCTTGCATTCTTTCATTTTCTTAGGACTGTACAATGGTTATAGATGTTTAAATAATCTCCAGTTGAGTTTTGGATATTCCTCATGATCAAGCCAGATCTGAATTGCTGTTACCAGATGAGGTCATTCTTCTGAGATTTTATGGGAAGGGTGCAGGAAGTTGAGAGAGTTTTTATCTAATGACTTCTGTTTTCTCTGTATAATAGGATGTGAAGTTGTCTGATAAAGGAAATGGGGGTTTCATGGCATGAGGATGAGAAAAAGGCTTTAGAATACCATATTTGATGACGGAAAATCTAAGTAGATCCATTCTATCTGCTCTCTAGTCTCATAAGCATGTGACATTAAAGCCATTTAAAGGGGAAACAATACTCATGGTGAGATGTATTTATAATTCACGTTGAACATTTAGTTTATATGGTTTTTATATTAAATGTGCACATTTAGTCATTGAGTATTTGCCACTGATAAATATTCTTTGTAGCTGATCAGGAGGTCATAGCTCAGTGTCAAAGGAGCTTTATTAATAAATCAATTGAAGTTGTCACTTATTATACTGCAAAAAGTTTCAGATTTATTTCACACTTATTTCCATTTGCTAGTTAATTACTAGCTGTCAGAGCATATTAAGTATTATAAATTTGAGTCAGAAGCTGTCACCCATAAGTGTATTAACTCTCCTAATCACATAGGTAGTGATTTTTTCCATAAAAGAATGATATTAATCATCAGCTTACATCTGTCTTTGTGATGGTATAAAATTGCCATTGGCTTCCAATGCTGAAGTGAAGAAAATCAATGTAGACATCAAAAATGAAAGCTTACAGTCATGAATCATGAGTATTTCCATTTATGTTAACAGGCTTCTCATTGTTTTCAACAGAAAAAAACGTCAGCCAGCTTTCAAAGCTTTTGACTTCTTAGCGTTAAAAATGTAGTTTATAATTGTTATTATTTATTATTATTATTATTACTAGTTAACATTTATGAAGCATTTAAGTGCCAGGCACTATGCTCACAGCTTATATAAATTATTTCTTTTAATCTTCACGATAAACCTCTGAGACCATTGGTTCTTATGCCGATGGTGCTTCTACTACCATATCGTCTGTTCTGTAATGAGGTAAACAATGGCTTAAAGGACTTTAGTAACTTGTTGCCCAAAATGGCAGAGCCTGGAGTCAAACCCAAGCAATTTTATTCCATAACTTTCTCTTGACCAGAAGTCTACACTGATGAATGGTGTTTGATATTTACCAAGTGAATAAACTAGGATTTGGGTGCAAGTAACTAAAATCCAACTTATTATAGTAGCTTTTATAAAATAGCAAAAAAATGTTCTCACTAAACAGAAAGAATGGAGATAGGCAGCTACTCACATTGGTTTAGTAGCCCAGCAGTCCAGGACCAGGGTCTGGTATTCCCTGGCCTTTTCTCATGGCAGCAAAAATGGCTGCTTCTGTTTCAAGCATATGTCCACATTCAGGTCAGAAAAAAATAAGGGGAAGAGCTGGCATTAGCCATACCTGTACAATTTATTAGGAAAGCAAAACTTTCCCAGTTATATCTCATTAATATAAAACTGTTCCACATGTTCACTCTTATCTGCAAGAGTGGCAGGCAGCAGGGAAAAGGGAGTTGGAGATGACTGATGGACCAGCCTGGGGCCAAGAGTTATAGAATCTACAAACTTTGTAGGAATTTTTCACTTCTTTCTTAACTACTTTCGTTCTTCCTTTTTTTTTTTCTTTTTTGAGTGAAAGAGCTGCAATTCTCCAACTCCTAATTTGTTCTTGCCTCATTTTCTAGAATGTATTCTTAGATAGTAAAAGAAAGCTGTGGTTTCACTAATTGGATCAGGATGCATTGGTTGCAAGTAACAGAAACTATTGCACACTTAAGAAAACAGATAGGTTTCAGTTATTTATTCAACAAATAAATGTATTAAGCATTCTTTTATTATTTTTTTTTTTTTATCCTCACCCGAGGACATTTTTTCATTTTTTGTTCAGGTAGAGTGGGAGGGAGAGAGAGGAAGATAGAGAGAAACATCGATGTGAAAGGAACACATCGAGTGGTTGCCACCCACACAACCGACCAGGGCCGGGGACAAACTGCAACCGAGGGTACGCGCCCTTAGCGGACCGAACCCGGGCATCTCAGGACCGCAGGCCGATGCTCCAACCGCTGAGCCAAACTGGCCAGGGCGCATTCTTTATATCCCATGGGCTCTTCTTGGCTCTGGGGATACATCAGTGGAGAGGAAGAGAGAAGACACACACACACACACACACACACACACACACACACACGTTATGCAGGAATCTCACAGAACCCAAAGATAGGAATGCAGCAGAGCCTTGAAGAGGAACAGGAATTGGGAGCTAATAAGGTGTCAGGAATTCAAACAGCTTCTCCGACTATATCTCCATTCTGTTTACTCTGCTTTCTCTTAATTCTTAGTTTGCATGGTTGATAGAATATGGTCACCCTACATTGCCTGAGTTTTGTATTCAAGCAACCAGCTCAAGCAGAATCCCTTAGTCACAACTCAAATGGCTAAGCAAAAGGATTTGAATCTACTAAGCCCACAGACAGGGGGAGATATGGTTACAGGGGTCATTGTGAATGGAGTAGGATACTTTGAAAGTGTCTACTTTAAAAGGCTACTTGTTGCTGCCACCATCTCCAGGCTCATTGATGCTTTTCTAGACATTTTACCTATCACCCATGGCAAAGCTCGCTCCTCCCACCCCAGAGATTTGAAAGTTAACTGTATCTTGAAGAGCATAGCTGTTTAGTTCTATAAAAACTACATGAATCAAATTAAAACAACAATGAGGTATCACGTCACACCTGTCAGAGTGGCTGCCATCAACAAATCATCAAACAAGTGCTGCTAAGGGTGTGGAGAAAAGGGAACTCTAGTACACTGCTGGTGGGAATGCAGACTGGTGCAGCCACTGTGGAAAACAATATGGTGTTACCTCAAAAAATTAAAAAGTGAACTGCCATTTGACCCAGTGATCCCACTTCTAGGAATATACCCTAAGAAGCCTGAAACACCAATCAGAAAGAATATATGTACCCACATGTTCATAGCAGCACTATTTACAGTAGCTAAGATCTAGAAACAGTCCAAGTGTCCATCAGTAGACGAATGGATAAAAAAGCAGTGGTACATATACACAATGGAGTACTATGCAGCTGTAAGAAAGAAAGATCGCTTATCCTTTGAGACGACATGGAGGGACCTGGAAAGCATTATCCTAAGTGAAACAAGCCAAGCAGAAAAAGACAAATACCACATAATCTCACTTATTTGTGGAATATAATGAACATAACAGCCTGAGGAATAGGGTAGACCCAGAGACGTGGAAGTAGGGTACAGACTGACAACCCTCAGAAGAGGGGGTGTAGGGGGGTAGAGATAAACCACAGAACTTATATGCATGTACGCATAACCAATGGACATGGACAACAAAGCTGGGGACAGGGTGGGGGGGTGGGGAGGAGGGTGTCAATGGGGAAAAAAAGGAGAAACATCTGTAACAAAAATAAATTAAAAAAAAACAACACTGCATTAATCAAAGTTCTTTTGAGCTTTTTCAAATCACTCTTGTGCCCTAATATATTAAATCCTTTCCCCACCACAGCCTTGTCCCTGTCTTCTAGGTAATGGGAGACTTGGGTCTTGGTTGACATTGAACTCCCTTCTCACTTCAAGCTAAGCGCTCAGAAGCCAACACCACTACTAACCAATTTAGTTCCAAAGTACATATTGCAGTGTGGGTTGGTATATTCTTTTAGGGCCCTTATAACCTATAGTGAGACATGGTTCTTGGTAATAAAAAAAAATTGTCTTTGCTTCAAACCTATGCATGTTTTTTTCCCATTCAGGGATAAACTGAATTGTTGATTTCATGGCTAATCTGTTTTTCTACAGGCTGTGGATTCCCCTCCACCCGGAGGGAGATGGGCAGGCTGGGGATCCTGGGGCAAATCTCTGCTCTCATCAGCATCTGCCACAGTAGGTAAGCATTGTATCTTGCATTTGAATGGATAAAGTTCAGAAGCCTAAAAGGATATGATAGTATAATTATGCTATGTACTGATAGAGTTTATCATTAGCCCATGAGATAATCATTTTTAATGCTTGAAGTGCTTCATATGTATTAATACATTTATTCCTCGTGCATGTATGCATAACCATGGACATGGACAACAATGCTGGGGATGGAGCGGGCGTGGGGGGGCAGAAAGAGGGTGTCAATAGGGGAAAAAGTAGAAACATCTTTAACAAAATTAATTAATAACATTAAAAGAAATACATTTATTCCTAAAAATAACCCTATAAGGAGGTGCTCTTATTTTCTCCATTTTAGAGATAAGAAAGCTGAATCACAGAGAGGCAAAGACCTTGTCCAAAGTCAGGAGTACTAGGTTGAGGTTTGAACCAAGTTGTATAAAAACCACTATATTATATTGACTCTTAAAATACAAGATTTGGAATTTTAAAAATATATTGTTAAAACTTTATGCTTATCATTCCATTTGAATGTTCTCAAATATACAGCCTACCCCCTAAAAGGATCTATAAAAGGCACTTCATCAGTAGAGCACTGAAATACAAGTAGAAAAAATTATGCAGGTAGGAAGGATATATTATAGATAGATAGATAGATAGATAGATAGATAGATAGATAGATAGATAGATAGATGATAGATAGATAGATAGATAGATAGATAGATAGATAGATATCTGCCAAGGCTAATAGAGTTACTGTAGTTGAGCATTGATCTTAACTCTGAGCTTCATGGCTGCTAGTATTTCTCATTGAATGATAAAATAAAACTTAGTTTACCTAGCCTGGGCCCAGTGGCTCAGTTGATTGGCACATCATCCCATGCTCCAAAAGGATCACAGTCAGGGCATGTACAAGAGGCAACTGATCGATGCTTCTCTCTCTCTCTCAAATCAGTAAAAACATATCTTTGGTAAGGATTAGTAAGAAAAAGAAACTTAGTTTATTTAGATAAAATTTATTGTTTTTGTGGTATTAATTTTTTGAAGCAATTTTTTCTATTAGCTCTTATACAAAGAGAAAATATAATGGACAGTGTCTTCATCAGTGTGGGTTTGTCAAAATATTCTTCATGTGTCCATTTCTTAGATCCACTTTTCATGAAAACTGAAGGTATAACACCAACATGCCTAAGATAATTTAGCAAAGGCATTTCATCTTGAAGGTAGAGAGTGAGGAGCAGGACAGGGGAAGCCATACGTAACATAGCTTTAACATCTTTTAACTCGGGTGTCTCAAGATTAGTTCATGGCCATAAGCATCTTGTGATGGGCCATGATTGGTCCAATCTGTTATTACTTCTTAAACCAGGAGGGATGGAAGGTCTGCAGGTGTTTGCCCCACTGCAATGGACCATGGTCACAATTTAAGGACCAGATATCTAATTTGATAAAATTTAGACTTTCTGGAAGAATGGATAGATTATGTCCCCCTAACTCCATGTCTGTCAGGGACATGGGAGTTCTGGCAGGAAGTAGACAGAGTTCAAATAAATGTTGGCCTCTCTGGCGAGAGCCTGGAGAGCATGTTTTTCTATATGCTAATTGAAGGGGACAGGTATGCAGTGGATACTACATAGGGAAATGGCAAAATTAACCAAATTAAAGCGGAGAAGCCTGTGTTGTTGTCTGAACAGGATATAATCTCCCCATGAGAGTGAAGATAAGCACCTGCAGGCAGCCTGCTTCCTAGGAAAAACGGTTGAGCTCTTAGTGGCTAACAAATGGATGTTGTCACTGGCCGCACTTAGGACTGCCATGCTTTCTGAACCAAAACCTACAAGTGTGGAGTCTAAAAGTTTTTGAAATTGGGATAAATCATGGGAAAGTAAATAATATGGCCACTGAATTCTACAGCTGTCCTCATGATTTATGTCATAAACAATAAAGTGTTCTAGGTGCTTCCAGTTATAATGGTGTCCAGATCTGCCCTGGTTTATAATGAATTCAGTGCTTTAGAAGGTTCTTTTATAGACAGAGGGTGTACTTTCGTGTTAATATAGGAGTTCCTTGCACAGTAAATACAGAAATCAACTGCCCTGGAGGGTAGCGGTTCCAGGTGTTTTTTGTGTGCACATTTACAGGTGCACCTGCCTATAACTGCTCTGCCATGGTTGGTCTGACTGTTTGCTATTGTTTCTCATCGATCAGCAGCTACACCTCATCATTTGACTTTGGGCTTCTCTGGACTCTTACGAGGTTTTCCATCCATCAACTGACAGCTTACCTGTTGAATTTACTATCTAGCATCTTAGGTATCTTGTTGTAATCTGACCTTTGCATATGTATGACCTTGTGCAGCCTTGGTCCCAGTGGACTGTGCTGCAAGGTCTCTGAGTTCTGTTACCTACCTCGAGTATAACCAGTAGATGATGCTGGTTTTACTGCTTAAAAAGCACAGTGTTATTTCTGTGGCAGGTTTCACCTCATGCTGGTAGACACTCATCTTTTGACTTGATCAGAAATCGATGTCTTAATCTGTAGCCTGTGTTTGTGTTTGGTGTTGCTCTTGAAGCTTCCCTGTATCTAAGTTACCATGAAGATGATAAATATTGTATCTTATTAATGTTGCAAACACTTAAAATCTCTGGTGGTTCTCACCTGGCTCTGTGCAGTAATTGATCAGAAGAGCCGAGAGAGGTAACTACCCTTCGACCAGCCTAGCCACTGTGCCAGACACTATTGCCACTTTCCCTCTTATGGTTGGTGGAGATGGGGTTTCTCTGATATTGTATAACATTTACACATGGCCTATAAAAATATCAAAATGACGTTTGGTATATCCTCTTGTATTAATTTTTATTGTTCTGTAACCAATTGCCACAAATTTAATGGCTGAAAACAACTGACATTGATTAGCTCACAGTTTCTGTGGGGCAGGAGTGTAGGCACAGGATAGCTAGGACCTCTGCTCAGTGTCTTACCAGGCTGAAAGCAAGGGACAGCCCACTGCATTCTCACCGGATGTCCGGTCATCTTTCAAGGTTCTATAGCAGTGGTTCTCAACCTTCCTAATGCCGCGACCCTTTAACACAGTTCCCCATGTTGTGTGGGCATATCTGTACGTGGGCAGACCCGCCTGGAGATGGATAGAGGAGCGGTGTCTCGGTTCCTAAGTCCATCGGAAATAGGTGTTTTCCGATGGTCTTAGGTGACCCCTGTGAAATGGTCGTTCGACCCCCAGGTTGCGACCACAGGTTGAGAACCGCTGCTCTATAGGGTGCTGACGGAATTTAGTTCTTTGCAGGGGTAGAGCTGATATCCCCATTTTCTCACTGGTCTTAACCAGGGGCCACTCTCAGCTCCCTGAGGCTGCCCTCAGAGGGTCCTCTTCAAAGCCAGAAGGGTAATCTCCCTCCTACTTTAAATCTCTCCCTTTAGGGAGGGTCAAGCCTTTTTTTAAGGCTCATCTGATTAGTTCAGGCCCATCAGAGATGATCTCTCTTTTTATGAACTCAAATCCAACTGATTAAGGACCTTAAATTATATTTGAACATGTAGCATAAAGGGGGTGGGGGCTGAAGTCATGGGTTCCAAAGCTGGAAACAGGAAGTAGTGGTGGTTAGGAGTTAGACTTCTGAAAGGTAATAGGGATCACAAATATCCCACACATAGAGAGGTGCCATAGCTGTGCTTACAGCCCGAAACAGGGTTGGAATAGGGTTCAGCCATCTGTGAACACAGGCTTTAAAAAGTTACGCATAACGTCCTGGATTGTGGTCTATATTGATCTGCTACCTTGGAATTGAGAGAGGCAAGCTAGGCACGCCTTCTATTATGTAGAGGCATAATATGCACCCGGGACTCTGCAGCATTAATAGTTTATTATCATGAGGCAAAGGAACTTATTGGAAAACAGCACTCAGAGTAGTAGACAAACTCTTGAAGGTTTATAAATTGCTTGTAGAGAGTAAAGGAAAAAAATAACCATGTATTCCATTGCAATTGATTTCTACTCAACCTCGTGTTACCCCCAGGGTAATTCCAATTACAGACAGGAGTGCAGCACACAGTCTGTAACAAAACACAGAGCTGTCAATTCAGCACCAGAAGCAGAAGCCAATACTTCTTACAGTTGTGGAAAAACTGCTGTCACAATGGTTAGAACTGTTTAAAGTTGGCAGGAGAGTAATTGGAAAATAGAAACATTTAAAGGTGGTTCTCTCTTGGAAAGAGCACTATATGAGGGAGTCATAAGACCCAAGACCAGGTCCTGACTGCTACTAACTTGTGATCACAAAAGACTGTCACTAACTAGCTACACCATGTACTTCACCTCTCTGAGACTCAGATTCCTTATTTGGAAAAGTGTGGGTGGAGGAACTTGACAAATTTGAAGATTCCTTCTGACTTCTGAAATATGATGTTTCCATGGTCTGTAGCTGTATATAGAAGGAGAAAGATGTTTGTAAATACTGTGCTAAGTGGAAAAATACAGAAAATTGATTGACTTTTTGCCACTCTGTATTTTTCTATTTTGTCATTGCCTCGCTACGTTGACCCCCGAAGTTAAAGGAAAATGAGAAAGAGAAACCTTACCAATGCTTATATAAATCAAGCATTTCTCAGCCAACTATTATTTTTGGAAAGGCTGTTAACACTTGCATTAGTTTCATCCACAGCTTCACTGTCATCACATTCTAAGAAGACTCATGCCTTTGGACAAGTTCATATAAAATGCAATAAAAATGGTTATTATTGAAGATCCAGGCAGAAACCAGAATGGGAAAGAAAAATGTTAAAAAAAAATTATAATTTCAAAATGATATTTTAAGAACCAGATGTGATTTCCCACAAGCCTCTTAGACACCTAACTGGTTCCTGGAATGTACTAAGTTAAGAGGGATAGACCAATTATCAGAATGAAAGGAGACAATGCTGAAACTTATCCAAATGTGTGTACCAAAGTAAAACCTTCATGGTAGAATAGAGCTATGTATTCCTAGATACTATAAAAGGCCTAAATGTTTATTTAAAATTCTAATTTTGACAGTTTTATGAGTCTAAACACCTAGGGGGAAGTGCATCTGATCTGCATTTTTTTTTTTTTAATCCTCACCCACGGACATGCTTAGAGAGGGGAAGGAAGACAGAGAGAGAAAGAAACAGAGAAACATCAATGTGAGAAACATCAATTAGTTGCCTTCCACACATGCCCTGACCTGGGACCAAACCCTCAACCAGGTATATGCTCTGATGGGAATCGAACCAGAAACCTTTCCGTGCACAGGATGACGCTCAGCCAACTAAGCCACTAGTGCTGGGCTAATCTGCGTATTTACCTTTCTGAATTACCATTGTCTTCTTCCCCATCCTCTCCCAAGTTACACATTGTTTTTTTCCTCCTGCACATTTTAATGAAACCCTTCTACCAGCATTGTCAGAAATAATGACAGCATTTATTATAGAGAATGGCAAACTTATCAAAATGATACTAAAATAAGAATTCTTAACTGTAAAAATCACTATTAATATCACATAAATTCCTGTGACATTGCTGATGGTGTAAGAATTCTCAAGAATCATGATCAGAGTTTGGTTCATGGGTACTTTCTACTGGTCCCATATGCTAAAGGACCCGTGAGTAGGGCACCAGCTAATTCATTCAGGGGTTCCCCTTTTTTAGATTGCTTTAATTTTTAATATAACATTTCCTTCTTTTCATTTCATTTATTTATTTCTCTTTTTTTAAATGAATATATAAAAAAGAAACTAAAGAAAGTAGAATTCATGCTTAGAGTTTGTTCACAATCCTTTATAATCTATTAATACAGCCCAGGGGTTAATGCATTTCTGTTTGATGGCTTGGCAAACACTATCAGTTCAGAAACACTTCTGGTCAATTTTGACCCTTAAGAGAAGTCTGATTACAAAGTGGACATCAACCACTGTGGAGAGAGAAGACTTTTCCAAAAGGAAGGTTAGTGCCTCCTCTTTTTGCTGCACTGAAGGTTGCTTTAGTTGAGCCCAGCAACACCATCTGTGTGTTTTGTAAACAATTGCTCCTCACAACTTTTCATAGTATCTTGAATTCATTGATAGAAGAGGCTGAAATGCAGTCGATACAGGGTGGGGCAAAAGTAGGTTTACAGTTATGAGTACACAAAACAGAATTTATTCTTGTACTATTATTCATTAATTATTATATTATTTTCTTATGAACAACTTTAAACCCACTTTTGCCCCACCCTGTACTTTTAAATTGTTCTATTTCTCAGAAATTCACACAAATAAGAGTATAAATTGATGCAACTTTCAGAAGAACAGTTATCACTATCTATAAAATTTTAAATGCATGTACTTCTAGCCCAGCAATTGCACTGATGATCTTTTGCCAAAGTTCATTAATGTATATGTGCAAAGATGTTCAATATAGAATTCATTCAGCAAATACTTACCGTGCTAGGCACTATTCTAGGCAATAGAGATAAAGCAGTGAACAAGTAAGACAACAACCCCAGCCCTGGTAGAACTTACATGTTAGTGAAAGGAGACAGACAATAAACAATACACATATTGAATAGAAAAACTACGTGCAGGATACTTAGGGTTTGTGATGACATGTGCAGAAACTAATCTAGGAACTATACCCTATAGTAGTATTCATATTTGTTGTTTTTCTCTGTTGTTGGTAGAACCGATCAATACCTGAGAATGAATCTCTCCCAGTCAAAAGGCAACAGACTTCACGTTTTTACTTCCTTGTTCTGAGCACTAGATGTCACACTAAGTAAAGTTTTAGAAGTTACTCTTCAAAGTGGGGTGTGGTATACAGTGTAAAACCTAGCTATGAAAAACCAGAGCTTTATATTTCTAGTAGAATACAGTAAAGGTGTACTTCACTACCAAAAGAATTCAGGAAAAAGAACTATTTTTTTTTTTTTTTATCCTCACCTGAGGACATTTTTCCACTTTTTTGTTCAGGTAGAGTGAGAGGAAGATAGAGAGAGAGAAACATCGACGTGAAAGGGACACATCGAGTGGCTGCCACCCACACGACCAACCAGGGCCGGGGACAAACTGCAACCGAGGTACATGCCCTTAGTGGGAACCGAACCCGGGTCTCTCCGGACCGCAGGCCAACGCTTTAACCGCTGCGCAAAACCGGCCAGGGCAAAAAAAAAAGAACTATTTATCAGAATATATTATTGGAGGAACCTTAAATATGTGCAATTCTGTGTACATAATTATACCTCAATAAAGCTGTGGGGGGGGGGGTTGGAGTAGCAGCCTATTGTCATGTCTGTTAAACAAACAAATCCTGTTTATATGCACATAAAAGTGGTATTTCCCTCCAGAAACAAAGGGTGGAAAAGGTGAAAGAGAAGATAATGACAATGAGGTTTAATAAACCCTGAGTGGTCTCAGGAGCAGATGTAGAATCATCTTTCTTACATGACTTGTGCAAAGAAGCTACAGCAGATGCCTCCCAGCCTTCTCAAACTCATTTATTCCTTGATTTTAGCTGTCAAAACTCTAGGTGAGAATTCTAGATTCAGATCTGGATGTACATTATTTCCTTTTGAAAAATATGTTTTTAAAAGAGGGCAAGGAATATGGACTCAGTATGTAAATAAGGTAGATGATAATGTTCTATAACTTAAATGTGTTACTGAAACTCCAATAAGTTTCCATTGAAATGCTTAGAATTCACTGGAAGCTAAAGAGAATTAATTCAAGTCTTAGTTTTGGCAGTTACAGTGCATCTTTTTTCTATATAACTCAGAGATGAATTTGAATTATATTTAATGATCTGCATATAAACATAGACATATATTTCTGTATGTAATTAATGTTGTAAACATTGTAAATAATATTTCAGGGTTTTCTGCCCAGCCAGTGTGGCTCAGTGGTTGAGCATTGACCTGTGCACCAAGAGGTCGCCAGTTTAATTTCTGGTCAGGGCACATGCCCACGTTGTGGGCCCAATCCCCAGTTGGGGGCATGCAGGAGGCAGCCAATCGATGTTCTCTCTCCTGGATGTTTCCATCTCTTTCTCCCTTTTCCTTCCTCTCTCTCTCAAATCAATAAAGAAAAAAATTTTTAATAAATATTTCAGGGTTTTCTAGATTGTGTATAATGACAGGTAATTCTATGTGCCTTCTAAGACCAGGTGGTTCTTTTTGGCTCTAAATCCTGCCATGACTTGAACTTTCCCCCCCATGTATTACTATTGCTGCTGCCTTGGGTTTTAAGGCCCTGAGATTGCCCAGATCCCGAGTGAAACCCCTCTTTCCTCCAGAGTGCTAGAGGTGAGCGCTGTGACATGGCAGCTCGTGCTGTTTCTCCTTCAAGATCTCAGACCGCCACTGATTAGCCTCAGTAGACTGTTCACTTTTTTGTTCAGTTTGGGAACTCTGAGAAAAGCTTTAGGTCATCATGAGGGCTAAAGAAAAAAAAAAGCTGCAGAATAAAATGTAGACAAGAATATATATCAAGCCATGTGTGTGTGTGTGTGTGTGTGTGTGTGTGTGTGTGTGTGTTGTGGAGTGCGGGGGATGAGAAGGTCAGCTTTGTATTCACTAAATAGTTATAGTTAATACCCACTGTGCTGGGTCTGGGAGATAGAGGTTTTGTCCCTGCTCAGATGGAGCAAAACCAGTGCCCCTCATCCTGGCTGACTATTCTTTTTTTTTTTTTTTTAATGTTTTTATTGGTTTTTGAGAGCGAGAGGAAGGGAGAGAGAGATAGAAACATCAATCGGCTGCCTCCTGCACAGCCCCCACCTGGGATCGAGCCCGCAACCGAGGCATGTGCCCTGACCAGGAATCAAACTGGAACCTCTCAGTCCACGGAACGATGCTCAATCCTCTGAGCCACACTGGCCAGGCGTGGCTGACTATCCTTATGGGTTGTGTTCAGACAGTTACTGCCTAAGACAACTGTCAGAGCTGTTGGGTGCCCTTCCTGGTTTTCCCACGTACTTGCCTTTTGATTTTGACACATGGGCTCCTGTCCCTGCTCTCTCCACGTGAAAGGGATGACTAACACTAACACGTTGGAAGAGCATGTTAAAGCTCAACTGATTTCAGTTCACCAAATAGCATTGGAGTACCTGCAATGGGCTGGGCCTGCAAGGAATTAAAAAATGAATGATGGAGACCTACCTTGAGCTTGGAAAGGAGAAAGGAGGATAAGACAGGAACACTATTCACAGATAATATTTTCGGTTTGGAATCCCACCTTGCTAGTGAGACTGTGTGAGAAGTAAAATGGAATCATAAAGCATCTCTCATTAGCTCCTCTTAGCAATTCAATGAAGAAACTGAATCACTGAGAAATTAGGAAACTTCTCCAAGGTCACCCAACTCAACAGTGTGGAGGCTGAGGTGGGATCGGAACCTACATCTGAGTGATTGCAAAGTCTATGCTGTTTACCACCACACTTTCTTACAATAAGTCTGGAAGATGAGCTATAGTATTTGCAGGCTGTGGATTTCTCTTGTATCCATGAACCATATTTTTATTTCCTGATAGGTCATGGATTGACAGCAGTCAAAGAAAAAGCAGGAGCCACCCTGCGGATTCATAGTGTAAATTCTGGCTCTTCTGAAGGGGCCCAACCTGACATGGACAATGATGTCCCTCAAAGTGAGTAGTGTATTTATTTGGGGGTTTCTTGGCCTTTGGCTGTATTATACTATGTGTACAAGTAGAATATTTCAGATCATCAAAGTGAACTGTGAACGGATGTTTTTCTCTTTAGTAGCAGATGCAGCCACAGATCCGAGCTCTGCAGAAGGCCCACCCACTTCTCCTTCAGCAGGGTCTCGGGGCATGCTGTCAGCCATCACCAATGCGGTTCAAAACACAGTAAGTTGTTAGCTGCTTCCTCTGTTTTCCCTGGTGTCTCTCAGCACCTGCTTTTGATACCTCTATTTACCAGTGACCTAGATATATTAGAGAAAAGATGGCCTGGCTCATAACTTTGGATTATGGTTTAGGAGAAGGCATAACTTTGGAACCAGAGTAATAAGGGCAAAACGAAATGCATTTTGTGTTTAAAAGAAAGGAGCTACTTAAAAGGACCATTTTTCAGTCTGATGTAACAGCGGCCTCCAGCTGCTGCAAGGACAGCCTCTGGCTGGGGGGAGAGAGGCTCTTTCTTAGAGCTGGGACAGCTGTTTCCCTCAACGCTCTGCGTCTCTTAACCTTCAATTTGAAAAAGTATAAAGCCATTTAAATAAAAATAAATGCCAGTAAAGAGTCAGGAACAACATCCCTGAGATGTTTCTAAAGTGTTTCCAGATAACTAAGACCAACATTCTTCCCCCATTCCCAGTTTCCACTGTCCCTTCTTCAAATAACCCAAAGTCTGCCCCCACCCACCCTCCACCCCAGCGGGGAGTGGTGCTGCCTGCCTCTTAAAGAAACGTGTTATTGCCCTGGCCCATTTGGCTCAGTGGTTGGAGCATCAGGCCTCGGACCAAAGAGTCTCGGGTTTGATTCCAGTCAAGGGTTATGCTACCTCAGTTGCAGTTGGGTCCCCGGCCCTGGTCAGGGTGGTGTGAGAGGCAACCAATCGATGTCTCTCTCTCTCTCTCTCTTTCTCTTTCCCTCCATCCCTCCCTCTCTCCCTCCCTCCCTCATACTGTATCTGAAGATAAATGGATAAAGATTGAAAAAAAGAAACTTGTTATTGGCAACAAAATATAGATGAAAAATGAAAAAAGGGGGAAGCACCCCAACTGAGGTGAGACAGCTAGCTGGTCTTCAGGGTCAGGAAGAAAAGGTCTCTTTCCTGCTATTAAAATCAACGAACTAGTTTTTCTGGAAATATGCTCTCATTCAATTCATTCATTCATTGTTTTGAAAGGTGATTAACCTTCATATATACCAGGAGCTCTGCTGGATGCTGGGCATATGCTGACAAACAAGAGGGTATCCTGGAAGACAGACCGCTAAACAGGCAAATGCGATGCTCCATGGCAAGGAGAGGGGCTGTGAACACACATCGGAGGGTACCCTACGCAGACTTTGGGGTCAGGGCATGCGAGAAATAGAAAAGGAGTGCTCGCCCTGGCCATTTTGGCTCAGTGGTTAGAGCGTTGGCCTGCGGTCCGGAGAGACCCGGGTTCGGTTCCCGCTAAGGGCATGTACCTCAGTTGCAGTTTGTCCCCGGCCCTGGTTGGTCGTGCAGGTGGCAGCTACTCGATGTGTCCCTTTCACATCGATGTTTCTCCCTCTCTCTCTCTTCCTCTCTCTCCCTCCCACTCTATCTGTACAAAAAATGGAAAAATGTCCTCAGGTGAGGATAAAAAAAAAAAAAAGAAAAGGAGTGCTCTTCTCCTTGATACTTGAGGACCTCTAGGCCAGGTCGGGTGCATAAGGAGCAGCAGAGGTGTTTTAGGATCAAGTAGCAATGCAAGTCCAGCATGCGCTGGGGAATTTGTAGGGCTGGGGTGGGAAGGAGCTCTTTCCCTATCTCTGGTATAAGAAATGATTCACAGTCTTCCTGAGCTCCAGTGCAGGGCACTCCGAGTTTGTCTTCAGCATCCTCACATTCCATTCCTTTCTGTGTTCTCTCCAACCTTCTGGTACAGTCGTCTCCCCTTATCTGCAAGGGAGATGTTCCAGGATCCCCAGTGAACACCTGAAACCATGGATAGACCTGAACCCTATATATACTATTGTTTCCATACTCACCTTTTCACCTGAAGGAAGCACTTCATGGCTTCTCTTTGGCACATCCGAATTGCCAGCATCACTACTCTTGTGCTTTGAGGACACTGTTAAGTAAAGTAAGGGTTACTGGAACACAACCACTGGGAGACAATGATAGTCAATCTGATAACAAAGACAGCTACTAAATGACTAATGGGCGGGGAATATACAGTGTGGATCCGATGGACAAAGGGATGATTCACATCCAAGTTGGGACAGAGCAGGATGGCATGAGATTTTATCACACTACTCAGAACGATGCACAACTTAAAACTTTATGAATTGTTTATTTCTGGAATCTTCCATTTAATATTTTTAATCTGCAGTTGACCACTGGTAACTGAAACCATGGAAAGTAAAACCACAGATTGGGAGGTCACTATATTCTCTTTTCCCAAGCTCCAGACACCCCCACCAGGTCTGCCCTTACTCAAAGTTCCTACAGCCTTCTTTCTCCCATTTTTTCTCTACTGAAGTAATCCCCCATAGGATGTTAGGAGAAAACAAATCAAATATACAAAAGTATGAATTGCTGATATTCCAGTGTCGTCCCCCCACCCCACCCCAGAGTATGTGTGTTTTAAGATCTGTTTTATAGTATGATTATTGATTGGCTCCCAAACTGAAAACAAAGTCTAAATGTCCAAGATGGAAATGATGGATAAAGCATATTAACTCAGTGAAATCTAATATTGCTATTGAAGTAATAATTATGAAGATTGGAAAATGCATGTAGGTAATAATATAATAATAAAGTATGATATATATAAATTCATGCAAGGTGTGTGCATATTGTAATTGCAGTTGTGTAGTTGAAGGGTATGTACAGAAGTTGCAAAGAATTGCCCTGGCCAGTTTGGCTCAGCAGTTAGAGCGTCAGCCTGCCGACCAATGAGTCACGGGTTTGATTCCAGTCAAGGGTTCAGGGTCATGCGGGAGGCAACCAGTCATATGTCTCTCTCTTTCTCTCTCTCTCTTTCTCTCTCTCTCTCTCTTCCCTCCCTCCATCCCTCCCTCACTCCCTCGGGCCCCCCCCCACTCCCACTCTATCTGAAGATAAATGGAAAAAGAAAATATCCTCGGGTGAGGATTTTAAAAAGCATTTAAGCAGTTCTGTTTATATGAACAGTTTATGTGAGTAAATCTGATTGTTTTTATCTTTTTCTGTTTTTAAGGGAAACAATGGCTGACAAAGGAATTCACAAGAGGATACTTGTATAATAGAATAGTTCCTAAAGCCAGTAGTATATGGAAATCAGCCTGTCTTATTTCATGAATATACTAACTGTAGTCAGTTATTACTAATTTCTAAAAGTATCTAAGAGCCATCTGAAACAGCCTGAGGGTCCTACTGCAGGGCCCTAGATTAAAGAATTCCCTAAACCGGCAAGAGTATTGGACATTTTAATAGATTGTTTCAAATAACTCTGTTACTTGGATTAAAATTTTTTCAAACAAAAGTAACAATTGGGTCACCTATTAACTTTATGTCTTAGATATATATCCTTCACAAACACAGAGCCGGTAAAATTAATCCCAAATATGCTTTGGTTTTTCCTAACCATCCTTTTAAAATAATTTTGTATGCCCTACAAATTATATAATATATGGTCTTCCAAGGGAAAGAAGATAGGATTAAGTGGATGATAAATCTGATGAGAAAGAAATTGTGACTTTATATTGATTTTAATATTTGAAGATAGAGCCATCTAGGAGTTGCTGACTGCTGCAAAACAACAAAATGTAAAAATCTAATCTCATCTGCAGGGTAAAAGCGTCTTAACAGGGGGGCTTGATGCTTTGGAATTCATCGGCAAGAAAACCATGAATGTCCTCGCAGAAAGTGACCCAGGCTTTAAGCGGACCAAGACGCTCATGGAAAGGACTGTTTCTTTATCTCAGGTGAGATCATATACTTTTGAAAGTTTTTCTTTCAGTCAATAAAATAAATACATTCTTATTTATATTTTTCAAATTCAAATGGCACAAAATAGTGCAGAGTGAAAACTGAGTTTCTGATATTCCTCTTTCCCCAGCCACTTAGTTTCTCATGGGAGACAACCACTATAACAGCCTCTTATGGATTCTCTCAGAATTACCATGTGGATATAGAGATATTCATATAGATAAAGATATAGGTAGCTATGCATGTACATATATATACATACATATGCACATATATATGTATATACTTTTTCAACCAAATGGTAGTATACTAACCACACTCTTTTGTACCTTGCTTTTATTCAATTAATAACTTCTTGAAAATTATTTTATTTATGCCATTTGTCTGTCCATTCATGCTGCTATAATAAAACGTCATGGACAAGGTGCTTAGACACAGCAAACATTTATTTCTCATAGTCCTGAAAGTTTACACACCTGTAAAACAAAGAACTGGACCTGGTAAGTTTCCCAGATTACCATAGTTTTTGTGCTACCTTCACAATTTTTATCATATCTATATTCAATCTACTGCTAAAAAGTAAGCAGCAATACTCATAGAAATTGGTCACCCAAGAAGACACGTGAACCATCTGCAGTGTTTGTTCTAATTACATATCTGAAACATGTGCAAAACGTGTAGCATGCAATATTCTGGGGCACACTTGAGCACTGCACCTGTAATTTACATGGCTGCTTAAACAGGGTCACCACAACACTACCAACTTTAACCTCCTTCCAAACAGCAATTTTTTATTCATTCATTCATTCATTCATTCATTCATTCCACTAATGCATTTTAAATGTCTGCTATGTGCCAGGACTGTTCCAAGCATTTGAGATACATTTAGTAACCAAAATAGATAAAAATTCTTGTCCTTAAGGAGTTTTGTTCCAGTGAAGAGAGGCAAGCAAACAATAGACATTACCTAGTATTTTAGAAGATAATGAGTTCTGTGGAAAAAAAGAAAAAGTAGAGCAGGAAGAGGGTAATCAGGAATGTGGGAGTGAATGAGGGGCAGGTTAAATATTAAATTGGATTGTGAATGAGGGGCTCATGGATAAAGATAATGACATTTGAGCAAATACTTGAAGGAGATGAAAGGCTTGACCATGCAGAAATCTGAGTAAAGCACATTCCAGTCAGAAAGAGCAGCTTGTGCAAAGGCCCCGGGGCAGGAGTATCTGGTATGAACAGAAAAACAGCAAGGACGCCATGTCATGGGAGAGGAGTGAGACTGGATGAGAGTTGTTAGAGATAAGGCCAGAATGGTATTTTGGAGCAGATGACAGCAGATCATGGGGGGCACTTGCAAGGACTTTGGGCTTTCCCGTTAGTGAAATAGGGAAAGCAGGGCAGCATTTTGAAAAGAGTGACACATCTGACTTTGAAAGGCTCACCCTAATGACTGTGTTGAAAGTAAATGGAGTAGGGAGGAGGGCCAAGGGCAGGGAGACCAGGTAGAATACATATCAGTCTGTGTCCTCCCAGAAACAGATGTCAAGATGGGCTTCATTAAACGTGCAAGGATTTTATTAGAGGAAATGCCTGTGAGAGAACCAATCGGGGCGTTGGGTACCAGGAAGGCTGGGTGAGCCATCAGACCAAGATGGAAATCTGACCCCAGTGAAGGGGAAAGGGAGAGAAGATTGGGTGGAGTCTAAGAAAGGTTTGGCAAAGCCATGGTGGGGAGCCCTTTAGCCAAAGTCCACTGACCAAGGACTTCCCTGTCTCCCAGGAACAGGTCTGCCTTAGGGTTCCTGCTGCACTGTGATGGACAGGGAGAGTCACGGGAGGCATGACCTCGGTGCAAATGAGGGATGGATTTCAAAGCACAGCCTCTGGGGCCCTTGGTCACTTATGCTCCAGCCTCTCAGCCTCCTCAGGAGGCAGTTACACTGATCTGAACAAGGGGTAGTGGGGGCGCGGAGCAGTGTGGAGCCCTGAAGGGGGCGTGGGTGCTGGGTGCAGTCCGAAGGCCGATCCAGGTTCCTGAAGGGCTGAACGTGGGGTGTGAGATAAAGGGAGGAGGCAAGGATAGCTCCGAGGTGTTGGTCCTAAGCATTGGAAGGATGAAGCTGCCATTCACTGAGACAGGGAAGTCTGCTAGTGTTTGCTCATCCACACACTAAATGACTCCAGACATCAGAAGTGTTCGTCCATGCACAACCCTAACGCCTCATGTGTTCTGTCCCAGGGGAACGCTCCAAATTTCTCAGATCCCACACTAGAATCACTCCCTGCTTCTTACCCCATCTCCTTTGCTTTTCCAGAGGGAAAATGGAACCAACGTCCTGGGTAAAGCCAGTCTTCTTTAGGACAACTTGAATTTCACTCTCCATTTTTTAGGAGTGAATTCAAATCATTCCAGGATGACATTTTCCTTTTACCTTCCATTTCAGCCCTTTTCTCTCTATTCCAAAGTACAAATTTAAAGATGGAAGTTGGTGTAGAGAAAGGAAGCAGTTTCAACGTCACTAGGTGTTTGTTTGTTTTTATTTAATCCTAACCCGAGGATGTATTTTTATTGATTTTAGAGAGAGAGGGAGGGGGAGGGAGAGACAGAGAAGCATCGATGTGAGAGAAACATTAATAGATTGCCTCCCACACGTGCCCTGACCAGAGATTGAACCTGCAACCTGGGTGTGTGCCCTGACTGGGAATTGAACCTGCGACCCTCTGTGCATGAACAATGCCCAACCAGTTGAGCCACACCAGGCAGACTGTCACTCAGTTATTTTATTTGGTCACCAAAAACATTGTGAGATCAGTGGGGAGAGTTATGTTTGTTACATGCTACTGAGTCAGCTGTGACTCCTCGTGACCGTATGAGTGAGTGACGTCCACAGTATCCTGACCTTACAGCCCTGCTCAGCTCCTGTGGCCTCAGGCCTACGGCTTCTATAATGGGGTCAATCCATCTCCTATTTTCTTTCTCTTTTCCTGCTGCCTTCTATTTTCCCCAGCATTCTTGTCTTTTCCAAAGATCCCTGCCTTCTCATGATGTGCCCCAAGAAGGCCAGTTTCAGTATTGTCATTTTTGCCTCCAGCAATGTTTCAGGCTTAATTTGCTCTAGGACCCACTTGTTCATCTTTCTGGGGGTCCATCCGTAGAGCTCTTCTCCAACACCGTATTTCAGATGAATCTATTTTTTTCTTTCAGCCTTCTTACCTAGGTTTTATTGTCTTAAAAATTACCAGTGGTTTGATGGGGTCATTTTGAAAACTTTAAAATTCAGAGCTTGTACTTTTTGATTTAAAGAGAAACAGGAGGGAGAATTCTGTCTATGGCCCTTTGAGTTTTTAGCCAACAACCTCAAGACCCAAAAGGAGGAAGTGGCTGTTTTACTAACACATCATAAAAACAAAATCTATTCTTCCACAATCTTCCCTTCCTGACCTTGTGGTAGACAGTGTATTTATTGTGCTCTTTACAGATACTAAAGAACCCTATAAACTTAATGCCCCAGTAAACTTGATGAGGAATCAAATAAATGAGGCTTAAAATCAAAGAAAGTAAGTGTAGAAAACTGGGAGTGACTGGTGGACTTGTGTTCGTTTTGTGGTCCTTTTATTTAATCAATGAAAACATAACCAGAAAAAATATCGATGTGAAGAGGAACTCAGTTCACAGTCATACTTCTCAAGACCAATCTAAGAATTGATAAGCTAACATTCTTATTTATATTCAGTAGCCAGTAAGGAACACATTATGAGTTTATATTTTATTGATTTTTTGTGGTTTGATAACCACACACACACACACACACACACACACATACACACAGTTTTTAAAATAATGTGACATAAAATCAGGTCAGTTTGTTTCTGCTTTGAAGTCTGCCTAAGTGCAGATGTCGCAGTTAATCCTGTCACAATAGATTAAACTTTTCTAGTGCACATAAATTTGCTCATTATAAAAAATTTGGACATTTCAAAGAGTTGAATCACACACATCAATGGAAATCAATTAAGCTTTTGTTGTGCATCTTCCCAGCCCTATGCCCAGGCATAGAATTTTTGCTTTGTTTCGTTGTGTGCATAATGAACATGTAAAATTCAAAGTGGAATATTGTGTAAAAATTGTCGGTAGAATCAATCAAAACATGGTTTTTTTTAGAGATTCCAAAGTGACTAAAGCCTCTTACAAAGTCAGCCCCGTCGCCCCCTACGTCTTATGCAGTAAACAGGGCTTTCAGGCGTACACCGCGTATACCGAGACTGTGTGTTTCTGCAGATGTTAAGGGAGGCCAAGGAGAAGGAGAAGCAGAGGCTGGCGCAGCAGCTCACGGCCGAGAGGACTGCGCACTACGGCATGCTGTTTGATGAGTACCAAGGTCTGTCACACCTGGAAGCTCTGGAAATTCTGTCCAATGAAAGCGAAAGCAAGGTATGTCTGCACTGGTCATTTCACATGACATATTCATCAACGTGCTTTCCTAAACAGGAAAGAAACTGGAAAATCAAACATTAAAACATCTTATTTTTAGAGCCTCCTTATTATTGTGCTAAGGTCACAAATGCTATACAGCCTGATGACCCCCTCATGCTCCATATTACTTCCTCTGTGTCCTGTGCCAAGCTGTTACTCCCCCCAGCCCCAAGAGGGCCAGCATAGTAAGAGCCGTCACGAGCCCTACCTGTTGGTGCACAAGGCTGCGCCAGAGCTGGGTTGTCAGGCTCCTGGCCCTGCACCTCCCTTTGGTGACATGTACCCAGATCAAAGGTGCCCTACCAAGCCCCATCTTTGTTCCCACCCAATGAAAACAAAGCAGACTGTGGAGTTTTAACGTATTTATTTTTATGGGTTATGTATTTAATCGCCCATTTGTTAGACTGCCTGGGCTACAAAGGGCAGGATTATCTTGCTGGTGATTACAGGTCTATTGGAGAGTGCCCCTGAACAGAAACCTAGCAGTTACCTAGCAGCCCTGCATGTTCACGTTCCCCCACTGCGATCCCAAAAATAAAACACAAAGAGCAGAAATCAGCAGGGTTTGGTGATTTCTTTTTTAAAGGATCTACGTGGGGTGTGTGTGTGTGTGTGTGTGTGTGTAGTTAGCAAAAACTTATACCGACACATATAGCCACTATTCTAAGCACTTTATTTCATTTATTTTTATTAAATATATTGGGGTGACATTGGTTAATAGGATTATATAGGTTTCGAGTGTACACTTCTATGATACAAGATCTGTATATTGCATTGTGTGCCCACCACCCAAAGTCAAATCATCCCTTCAGTCAAAACTCATTTAATTGTATATATGACCATTTTGTGTGAATGTCAGGCTGACTGTATTCTGGGGTATTTTTTCAGTGTAGGTCACAGGGCAGTACCCTCTGGACCTCTAGGCCATGAGGGGCTACAGGCTATGAGGAACTATGGGCCATTCATGGGGAGAGGCAGGTGCTTAGAAAGGAAGCTGAACTTGGAAGTGAACCTCAGAATGGAGAAGATATTTTGACTCTCTAGGCCTTATCCTTTCACGTTTGGACTTTGAAGAGGTTGAGACATTCTTCCTACGCACCTAGTCAGGGAAAGATGACATCTGCCACGTAACAGGCAACCAAGAACCAGCCAAGAGGGAGACATACACATCCCCACCCCGCACCCAAAAGATTATCAGGTTACAAGTTACTATCTGTTTTCATTTCCTAAAAAGTTGTCCATGAGCCATCAGTGACAGTCTTGAAGTTAAACTGTTAACAAATAATTTTTTAAAAGCAAAATCATGAGTCTTATACAGATATAAAATGAACATGAATTAAATAATTTATTTGACTCATTAATTAAATTAATATTAAAACGGATATTGTAAGTGATCAAAAGAAAAAGCCAAAGAAGCACAAATTTATGAGGAGTAAAACAATTTTGAAATGAATGTGCAAATGGACACAAACCTGGTTTTTCCACGGGAGGTTGTCCCTCCACTGGGCAAAATTCATTCACATGTCTATAATCAAGAATTATTTTGTTTTGTGATCAGGTGTCTACAGTTTACAGAGTTATGAAATTTCTCCCATAGAATCAGAATTTGATAATCTGGTGAGGTGTGCTTAGAAAATGCAGTTTTTCCCTGAAGCACAGAGTTTTCCCCACAGAAGCTGTGTTTGGGGTCCGATGTTACATGATCAACTATAACACAGTAGCTGAATGATTTTGGACCTGTCTTACTTCAGTTTCCTTATCTATGAAGTGCAAATAATAATGAAAACCTACTTATAGGGTTATTAAAATAATTGAGGTAATTCATGTGAAGTTAGTCATAGCAAGCCCAATACATAACAAGCATTCAATAAATGTTAGCTGCCATTTTGTACATATACATGTATGTGTTTATATGTTGATGACACTTTATTTTTACATGCATTCTTATGTTACACATATTTGTTGTTATTACTAAAAACATTGTAAGGGAGCGTGGCCCCTCTATCATGGTGGCAGAGAGAGATTTTACTCTGGCTGCTTCCATGAAGGTCTCAGCTGGGAAACAGTCTCAGGTTCCTAGAAAAGAGCCCCAAAGGACTGCTGTTACTAGGAGGGAGGTGAGGTCTCTGGAGGGATGCATTTCCCTCTGTTAGCACGCTGCTCCCACAAGCCCCACCTGGAGATTTTTGCAGTTTTCATAGTAAGGAATAGTAGTTACCGGGTGCCATAATAAACAGTCCTAAAAATGTCTGGGTGGAAACCATGAGAAATTATCCTTCCTCCTGTAACAGTGCAGGATGGAGGTGCTCGATCATCAGGCAGCTTCCCTGCATTTAGGGAGCCAGGAGCCAGGCTCTGCCTGTCTCATGCCTCCACTAGCTCCGTCCTAATGTTCACAGGCCTCTGCCAAGAATACAAATGGAGGCCTATACTGGGGTTGTCAGATTTAACAAGTAAAAATACAGGCTGACTTGTTAAATTTTAACTTTAGAAAAACAATGAATACTTTTTTTAAGCATAAATATGTCCTGTGCAATATTTGAGACATACACTTATACTACAAAAATATTCATTGTTTATCCAGACTGCTGAAGACAATAGATTCTATCATCCTACCTTGACAGATACACTTGCGTAACCACCTGGAAGGCCAGGTTCCCATTTAGATTCTCAGATTCCTCAAATGTCCACAGTACCTTCCTGCCTGCTCTCCTCCCTGTGTCTCCAGTTGTCTCTCACCTCAAAGAGCCTCATAGGCACATGTGAGGATGACTTAGTTCAAGTTCCACCCACACCGTGTAAACGACCACCTCATTGTCTTCCCTTGGACCTAGGAGTGCACCCTCCAGTAGATGGTCCCATCGTAAGGAGCATAGCCTGGGGAAAAGGTCCATACACAGGCTTGGAGTATCCTCTTGGGGTAGTCCAGAAGGGGGAGTATGGGCTCTGGGCAGGCTATCCCTTTGGCCCTGTGGACTCCCCAGTGTCCAAGTCTAAAGTATTGACTTTTGCCATTATCTAGTGTCTTCTTAATCCTACCAGCCTAAAGAGAGAGAGTGTAGAGAGGACACTCCCACTTTTTAAAAGCCTTGACCCAGAAATTATTTATATCTCCTTTGTTAACATTCCATTGGCTAAAACTAACACAAGGTATATGGAAATCGAAGGACTTATTAGCATTAGTATCTACTAGATTGATTCTAGGATGGCAGTTGGCATGGCAATGTGGTGTGATTTATAAATCTTAAGGAAAAACTAATAATTGTATCACCATTATATTCAATATTTAACAAATGCAGTAAACAAGAATCTTCAAAATGGTACTCCATGTCTCCTTTTAGGAAAAAGGTTTGTAAGGTGGACTGTCTACCCTGGTGATCCCAACAGCACTTAATTAAGCATAGCACCGAGCATGTCGTCAGCATTCCATGAATATTTATTGAGGCGTGCATAATTATTTATTATTGGATTGAAGTAAAGTTTCAATGAACATTGCCTTGGCATAACAGAATAAACTAGAGGAAGCAAAAGAGATGCTGTAGTAGACAGATGCTGACAAAAGAGTCCTTTGCTTAAAAGAACCCATCCCAGGGATGCTCAAAGAAGAAACCCCGCTACACTCACTCCCAGAGGATGGCTACCCTCAGAAGACCTGGAAAAAAACAAAATGTTCCACGTGGGCATGTACATTTTCACCAACTTGAACACATTTATTCCACTACCTTTATTTTTGCTCTGAGAAAACAGCCGTTTGGAACATATATGTGAAGCGCAAGAATTTGATGTGGGCACATCTAGGACTCTGAGACCTAAACATGAGTGTATGAGCTGAAATAAAGAGTCTGAAAAGGTCAGGACGAAAAGGAGGGGAGGCAGCCCTCATGCAGCAAGCATTTGCTTTCACCTGCTGAACTCGGCTAATGGGTTTTGTGTTGATGACTTCCCACAGGGCTTTGGCCCTTGTTGCATTAGCAACGTTTAGGAAAATGGTGTTCTGGCATCTCGATGCCCTCTCTAACTCTCTCACTTATCCTGATGTGGGAATCTACTACCATAATGAATATTAAAATGTATTCTAAAGGGCATGCTGTCTCCTCTGCTGGCTCTCTCTCCAGAGCAAGTGTTGGACCCGCAGAATGAAACATTAAAAGCCTTATAGTTTACAGTCCTACTTCACTTTTTATGTGGTTCTCCATGCCCTTTGGCCAGCTTGGAAATTGAAATAAACCTTCAGACTCACAGAGGAGGATTGGCCATCGGTACAAATAATTTTTAAGTGTTTACAAAGAATCACTTCAAAGAGGGGGTCTGAAGACACTGGGCAGGGAGAAGAGCAGTTCAGGACATCAGACCCCGCATGCCCTCTCGCCCCCCCACGGGGAATGGACAGCTCCCTCCCTGGTGCCCCCACTGTCACTCACTCACAACTGCCGTGGTTTTATTGGTTAACGTGGGCCTCCCTCCTCCAGACACAAGATCTCTGAGAAGAATGTGTTTTGTGCATTCTTGCAACCCCAGTACAATAACCCACATCTAGCAAGTGTATATGTTTCTGTATCTGTATATATGTAATATTTATTCATTTAGGTTTATTTACGTGTGTGTGTGTGTGTGTGTAAGGTCTTGATTATCACTGCAAGTCCTTCTAAGTACATTATTTCATTTAACCTTCAAATCAGCCTTATTAGATGCTATTAGTCCCCATTTTTACAGATAAGGAAGCTGAAGCATAGAAAAGTTAAATAAATGACCCAAGGTCACATTATTAGTAAGTAAGGAGCTGATATTTGAATCCAGGGTTGACACCAAAGTGTGTTTGTGACCACTGACTTGTAGCGCTACTGCCACCATCCATTTAGCATCTGCTGGGTGCACCTGTGCATATCCTTCACGCTCGTCATCTCATTGCGCGCATGAGGGTCACAGTGAAGTGTGGCTCTCACTTTAAAAATTTAAAAACGGAGGCCAAGGAAGCTTAAGTAACTGACCCCAAGTTGCACAGTTAATAGGCAGTTCAACCCAACGTTACGTCCCACACCACAAATCACCTCAGTCCCAGGAGAACTGGGGACATCTGTACTTAAATGTTATTAAGGAGAAGAAAGGATGGCAGTTATGCTGACCTATTTCTTTTTTCAGGTTCAGTCATTTTTAGCATCATTTGATGGAGAGAAGCTGGAACTCTTAAAAAATGACCTAATTTCCATTAAAGATATCTTTGCAGCCAAAGAATTAGAGAATGAAGAGAATCAAGAAGAACAAGGTAAAGGAAAATCAGTTAATAGCAAGACAAACTGTCAGTATAATCCTTATGAAACTATGAATAAGCAATCCCTTTGAACAGGGTAGAATTATTTAATTTCATGCTTCTCCTTCCCACTTCCAAAACATTCCATGCATCTGCTCTTGCTACAGGAGTTGGTCACATTGATCTGTAATCCTCTCTTTTGCTGGGTGGGAACTCCTGACTGAGGCATCTTTATTTCTCCACTGTCCAGAACAATCCCTAGCTCCACAGGCATGCAGTGAATGGGTGTGGTCAAGTGAGCAAGGAGGGCATTGTACACTAAACACGGCCCTGGTGACTAGTGTTTATGCTCTGATGTCTAATTTTTTATCTGCAGGCGAAGTGGTTGAATGTAATTGATGTTGATGGTGGGTGGGTCTTTCAATTGCTTCCTTTTCATATTCTTCCTCTCCCTTTTGATTTATATATGTAGGAGTTAGGATGTATTTGTAAGTGGCCTACACTCCACCTAAAAGGCGCATTTCATACAAAGGCACACACTAGAGTGTTATGTGTCAGGTTGTCAATCACTGAACTGAGCCAGGTTCACTCTCTTGATAATCCTCCAACCAGCCAATGACATGATCCCAAGGACACTGGGACCTGCTTTGTGAGAAGCAAGGTTTCCTTGAGAGGGGAAAAAATTATCTCAAAGGTAGACATGCTTAATGATTAAGTTGTCTATTTGGGAGCAAAATACAGTAAAACCTTTGCTTTGTACATGGAAAGTGGTTTCTTACTGATGTCACCAAGCACTACAACCGCAGCGTTCCTTGTAGGTTATGCTGACAGGTCAAGTAACCATGGACAACACAAGGCTGGCTTCTAGGACCACCGGAAGGGTCCCATTTGAAACATTTCACCATTTACATGCTATCTGTCCTTGAACAAGTTATGTAACCTTTCTGAAACTCAGCATCTCACCTATGAAAGGAGACAATGATACTTATTTTCCAAGGCTATTGTGAGGATCCAATTAGATAATATATGTAAAAACGTATATTACACTGCCTGGCACACACAGAACCACTCCAGAATGTTAGCTGTGATTATTATTTAAAGTACTAACATGATGCCAGGAAATAGTAAAGTTGTAATAAGTTGTAGCTTTTATTTATGGCTGCCCTTGGTTTACCCACACACACAGTATTGATAACATGCATTCACTCCCTCGTTGGTGGAAGTGTTTTGTGCCCAGGTGCTTCCTAATTTAGTGTTGATTACTCCCAAATATTTTTAATCTCCTTACGTTGTGTCTTAGTAGCACATAACAATGTAGTTACATAAAACTTTAGTGTTTACAAAACACTTTTGCATTTGTGATATTATTTGGTCCTTGCAACACTGCTAAAGAGAAGATGGGTGGGTTTTATTATCCTACATTTGCAGAGGTGTGTTTGGAAGCTAAGAAGCCCTGCGACTACCCCAGGTCACAGATCCATCCACCAGATGCTGAAGCTGGGGTAGAACCCACACCTTCCAAGTCTCAGTACAGGGCTCCTTCTGCCCTGTAACACTGCCTCCTACAGAATGAGAAGGACCCAGCAGTTTGGGAATGAGACCTTGTTGAAGACCTTGTTGATGCTCAGCTGTGCCCTGTCTAGAGAGGATGAGATCAAGACCTCGGCCCAGCAGAGAGAGAATCTCAGCTTTTTTTAAAAAAAATTTTTTTCCTTTATTGATTTTAGAGAGAGAGGAAGGGAGAGAGAGAGAGAGAAACATTAATGAGAGAGATCATCGACTGGCCGCCTCCTGCATGCCACCCCCTGGGGATGGGGCCCACAACCTGGGCATGTGCCCTGACCGGGAATCGAACCTGCAACCTCTTGGTGCATGGGTCAACACTCAACCACTGAGCCACACCAGCTGGGCAGGAATCTCAGCTTTTGATGAAATCAATCAATCTCTCTCTCTCTCTCACTCCTTCTCTCCCTCCCACCCACTCTCAAACTCTTCCTTTACACATGTGTAATGCCTCTCATTCTAGAAAGCTCAGTTCAGACCTCATCTCCCCCATGGAGACTAATTTGGTTTCCTCAGCTCCGTGGCTCTGTGGGCGTGAAAGGGCCCCCTGGGGATCATTAGAGTGGCAATGCATGACAGTACTCTAAGTCATAAGTACTCTAAGTCACTTAAGCCTGAGAAAGGTGATTCATTTGTTCACTTGGTCATTCTCTTAGCAAACAGCTAGTGACCACCTATAGCTGCAAATAAGACAGATAAGTCCCTCCCCGCCCTCATGTTGCCTTCAGGCCAGCCTGAGGGCACCCCAGCTAGTGCTGGGAGCAGCAGGACTCCAGCAGCCCCCACCCAGCAGCCTGCAGCTGCAGCCCTGCCGTAAGTGGGCGAAACTCATCTTTGCCTGGCAGCTGGAGGGCAGGCTGTAGGCTGGGGGAGCAGCCACAGCCTGAAAGATAAAATCATGCTTCTTAATTTCTGTCGTTTTCTATCTCTAGGCTCAGAAGAAAAGGGAGAAGAATTTGCTAGCATGCTCACGGAGCTTCTTTTTGAATTACATGTTGCGGCCACACCTGACAAACTCAATAAGGTCAGCTCCGTCTGTCTGAGTTTTTGTTTTTAGAAGAAGGTCTCAGTTATAAAATTCCAGAGGTCCACCTGAAATGGACAAACCCCAAACCCCAAAAAGCACCTGGGTGGAGGGAAGCCTGAGGTCAGTAATTAAGACTCAAGGAGGCTACATAATGAAATGTGATGGAAGAGAACATGCTAGACCTGTGTTTTAGTTGCACTTCAGTAGTAATTACCTTATGACCTTGAACAAGTCACTTCTCCTCAAAATAGAATTCCATGTCAGAGCAGTGGTTATCGTCAGCAGAGGGAAGAGAAGAGGGGTACAGAATCACCAAGGGACTTTTTCAGATTCCATCTCCCCTCCCCCAGGAGAGCGACAGGCCAGAGTTAGGCAGCGAAGCACAAGAGCCAGGTCAACCCCATGTCCCCTCCCACCTGGGATGCTGGTGTACATTGCGTCTGAGAACGTTCCAGCTTTAACAGTCTGGATCCTTCTGTAGTACCACAGTAGGCTTTGCAAGTTAGTACACGGGCTTGCTGCAGAGTTTCTTAATGAGGACACTGATCATTCATTACTGAAAACTGCCACTTTCCCTATTCTCTCCCTTTTTGTTTTCCCTTTCTTCTCTTTAGCAAGCAATAGTTGACCCAGGCCCTCATTTATCCAGGGGGTGAGCAAGGGGCAGAATGAGGCAGTGAGGAGGAGAGAAGAGTAATTTCCTTATCTCGGATAGAGGCCAGCCACTCTGGCAGGTCAGAGGCTGGAACACAGCGGGAAATTGCCTCATTCATCTCCGCGCAGCGCCTGCCACCGCCCCCCTGGTTTACTTACACAGTCAGGTACACCTTGTTCCCTAACAGAGGACACTCCGAGGAAGGTGCTGTTGGGCTTCCCCCAAATCTTCTTACCGTTCATTCACTTGCCATTCAGTACTTTGACACATTCAATGTTGATGTGTGCGCTTTAAGATGGGAAGTTTAGCATAACCTCAGACACAACTTTCACTGAAGCAAACAGCTTAAACTCTAGTGTTAAAAGCTCCCTTTCTAAATTCAGGGAGTTACAGATAGGGGAGGTGGTTGATGCTTGTTCAAGTTAGCCATAATTTTTAGGCACTCCTGTGACGAACTAGTCACAGAGTGGTGCCCACAGCCCTTCCCCCTCCCGGGGGGTCAGAGACCTAGCAGGGCTAGAGGAAAGCCATGTTTTGTCTTCCCAGCATAATATATTTCAGCTTCATGAGACACTAAGGGCTTCATGAGACGTAGCAGATGAGGGGATTGGCTTTAGCAATGACCCTGGCTAAATCTCTAACCTATATATTAAAAAAGTTCTGTGATTCTTTTGTAGTTGGTCATGAAAAGCAAAAAATATACTATGACCCTTTCAAGGTAACTGTCATTTTTATTCTTATCTGAGGATCATTTTAGAGCTCTTTTTAAAACATCCTTCCCCCTGTACAGTTCTCTCCATACTTTCTTTCTGTTCTGTCCCCTTTTCCTACTTTATATCCACCCAAAAGCAACAACAAGGTGTTTTGAAGGAGTTGCCCCCGTCACTCGTTAAATGTTCAGAGAACTGGCCTTGGAGGTTTAGGGAATTCGTCTCCATATTTGCACAGTGAATGTCTTGCTTTGGCTGGGGGTCTTCGCAGGCCATGAAGAAAGCTCATGACTGGGTGGAAGATGATCAAACTGTGGTGCCAAAAGAGGCGGCAGAAGAGATGGGGGAGAAAACGATGGAAGAAAAGGAAGAGGAACCTGAAAACCCTACAGAAGACGAAAAAGAAGAAAGGAAAACTAAGACAGTGGAGGTAAATTTATTTGAGGCTGTCCACCTGAAGAGCACTGATATTATGTTAATTTTATTAGCAGCCTAATTTTAAGTGAGGAAAAGCCATTTTATTTTTATTATAGAAATATAAGTATTAGCCCTGGCCAGTTTGGCTCAGCGGTTAGAGTGTTGGCCCATGGACCAATGAGTCTCAGGTTTGATTCTGGTCAAGGGCATGTACCTCAGTTCGTCCCCAGCCCTGGTCGGGTCGTCCGGGAGGCAACCAGTAGATGTGGCTCTATCGCATTGATATCTCTCTCTACCTCCCTTCCTCCCTCCCTCCCTTCTACTCTAATGATAAATAGAAAAATATCCCAGGTGAGGAATAACAAAAAAAAAAAGAAATATAAGTATTAGTATAATAAACACTAAAATTCTCCATGCCAAGATCATTTGTGACAGCATTGGTATTGTAGCTTTTCTCCATAGCTCTACAATTATAATTTAACAGGAGGGGGGAAAAGATCTTTAAGAACATAGCTGACTTACCTGGAGAGTGAAATTCCATCTTGTATGCAAGTTTGTAACGATAAAATGTTACCCCATAATCAATGAGGCAATTGAAGCTTTTCCCCCCCAAAATTTATTGCTGTAGTTTTTATTCTGTAGTTTAATAAATATGTATGTGTAAAAAATAATAATAAAAAAATAAATAAATATGTATGTATATAATTTATATCCTGCCTGTGTTTAAAAATGAGTTTGTGATCACTTCATCTTACATTGGATTTTAATTTTAGTAAAAGTAATTTTTACAATTAGATCACACTGGGAAAGATGTCCATTGAGGTCTGTCATTCAAAGGGACATAGCTGTGCCTAAGACTCGCCATGGCCCCGGGAACCAGGCAGCTTTTCCATTTCTACCTAGAAAAGTCTTAGACATGCCCATTAATCTTCAGGTAAACTTCTTCAGGTCATATTTGGGTTCTTTTTTCAAAAAAAATATGTGTATAAATATATATATGTGTGTGTATAAATATATATATATATAGTTAATATCATAGGGCCTTTAAAAAGCATCTGCTCAGTGAATAATTCTCACACTTGTGCTCACTTACTTCAGGACGTATACATGCTGTCCATCGAGAGTCTGGCAGAAGTCACAGCCCGCTGTATCGAGCAGCTTCATAAAGTGGCAGAATTGATTCTTCATGGACAAGAAGAGGAGAAACCAGCCGAGGACCAAGCAAAAGTTCTGATAAAGTAAATATTATTTTAAATTCTTATTTTTCCAATTTTATATACATGTGCTATTCAAATACACACACACACAAACACACACACTCTAGGCTACTAAAGATTCAGATTTCAAGCCAACTAATTTCAGTTTTTATGGTCATCTTAAGGAACAAGGACTCTCTAAAGAAATGAACCATGTCAGCAAGAGTAATAATAGTTAACTAGAAATTTTGGGATTATTTATGAAGAGATTGAAGAGAAAACACCCTAAATCATTCAGAGCTAAGTAAGTGTTTATTTTAATAGATCCAAGTCTTGGAAGTAAAGACCTTTAAGGGTAATTACATTTTCAACATACCACTTGATTGTTGAAAGGACAATGTGACTTCTCAACAAGCTTCACAAAAATATGCAGACACCTCCCCCCAGACACACACATACACGCACACACACATACTCACTCACACACACTGTCTCTAGGGACTTACACCAGCTCTACATATTCTGAATTCTGGCAGTGGTGGTCGTTAATGTAAGCCAGTTCACTAGATTGCATGTATGTGTACGTGTTATGCTCTTTAATAAATAGAAGTTATTGTTAATTTATCTAGTGAAATAAAAATGTATATATGTAACTTTATATACATGAAAATAGTTGGCATGGATTGGAAAAACTAGCCATTAACCTGACTGTGTTGTGACATAGAAAATTAGCCTATGCCCAAATACCGCCTTATTATTATTCAGACACAGGAGCTAAAATAAGAGCCTCCTAAAAACATATGAGTACATAGACACTCATATTTCAACTCATTCATTCACCTTGCCAGCTAACTAGACTTTGCTTATCACTACATTTGGCATTGTAGGTTGGGGGAAAATTTTTAGTGGAAGGACCTTCCAAAAAGTCAATACTAGTGGCATTTTTCCTCACTTGTAAAGATTTATCATCTAGTCTAGATTTTCATATCTAAACATGTAAAAATCAAAGATACTATAAGAACTGTGCAATTCTGCCCTGAATATGCCTAGAAAAGAATATCACTCCAACATGTAGAAGGAAAAGGAAAAGCCACAATAGGAAAAGTTAACATATTTGTCGATGGAGTGCTCCCCTGCCCACCCCGCCTGGGAGTTGAGAGGGAGTTGGCCAGGGGCATGGGCAGTGCCAGGACCCAACGGGGAACACTGCAACTGGAGCCCAGGAGGGGCGGCACCACCACCGTCTGAACTACGATGTCCCGACGTGAAGGTGTCAGCTGAGATGCATGTTTAAAAGGAAATTTTCAAGGTCACAGATACAAGTGTTTAATTTACTACAATTATGATCTTTGTGCATCTTGTTATGAAAGTGTTGCAACAACAACAATGCATACAACTGACTACCAGTGCAGTGCATATTAGCAAGGGTAGATTTTAATTTGTACTGAGGTGGGGAAGCTTCCTCTGTAGAACAGCCACAGTCTTTTACTTGTCCCTGTTGTGGAAAAATGGGCTACCCGGAGACATCTCTTCAAGAACATGTTACTTCTGAACACGCAGAAACATTAACAGAAGTGATTTGTCCTATATATGCAGCAAAACCTGGAGGCGATCCCAAGCATCTCAAGGATGGCTTTGCAGCTTATCCGATACTTGAACACAGAGCCCCTAGAGATTTAGATGAATTGAGTGGTGTTCGACATGTACATAGAATTTTCACCCTGGCCGGACATTATTAGGTCCTCATGCTTATAGATCAGACATGCAGTTTACTAGCAGTTCTGCTGGTGGACTTTCTCCTTTTCAGAGATCATATTCCCCAAGCAACAGGGAAGCCATAGATCCTATAGCTAAGCTTGTATCTCAGTTATCAGGAGTGAGATGTTATGCAGGAGGACAGCTTAATGCTTCTGACCCTTCCGCCGCTCAGGTACAACTGCAGCTGCAGCTAGAATGGCAGCTCAGGTGGCACAGCAGCAATGAGACCACACCCAATGCCAGCCAGCGCACTAACACAGGCAGCGTCACCACCACCATCACACAGTTCACAGCAACACCCAACATAGCTAACACGGAAAGCAGTCAGCAGACTGTCCAGAATTCCCAATTTCTTTGAACAAGGTTGAGCAATCCTAAAATGTCAGAGACAGAGCACCAGTCTGTGGAAAGTGAGCACACCAACCGCAGCCTATTTGTTCAAGAGCTCCTTCTGTCCACGTTAGTGTGAACGGGGGAGATGGCAGATTGTGGTGCTATGGGCTATGTAGATATTATGCCTTTAGATGTTGCTTTAAAAAACCTAAATTTAAAAGAGAGTAAAGAAATGAGCCTCCACCACCTCCTCTTTGATGACACCCCAATCCGCAGACGATGTCCTCTGTGCTGTATTTGCCAAGGGAAGTGGACACCATTGATCTTGTGTTATTTGGTGATTGTAATTTCAGGGCTGTTGCTCTTGCTGTGTTGTGTACATTCAAAGGAAGAGAAAAAAATGTATGTGATAATCATTTCCACTTACCTAATGTTTACTTGTAGCAGGTAAGTACAGGTGGCAGTGCAGGGTGACCTCTGCTTCCTGTACCTCGCCATGCAGAGGCTCCCCAGCGCCGCGTGCAAACTGAGGAGGAAGCTGAAATCTGTGAGGCTGCTGGGTGTATTTATGAGCGTTAATGAATAAAACTTCTTGGATGATGGTTCACCATAAAAAAGTTAACACATTGATGACAAACCTAAGTATTGTTTCATACTTGCTGTACTGACTTGAAAGAGGAGGTCTGGAGTTCAGAAGTCCCTGAGTAAAGATAGCAGGACCTTACTCTTAGCTTCTTTGTGGTTCCCAGCCCGGATTGTCCCATCCTTACCAAGCTGCACAGCCAAGAATATCAGACCCCACATTTATCTGTATAATAAGTGCCTCTCCATCCACCTGCCCAAGAACATAGAATGGCTCTGGGCCATCTCCTAGCTTTACTTCTGAGCTTTTCTGCAGAGAAGTTTTGGGTAGAGGGATGGGTGGATAGATAGATAAATATTGCTCAATAAATCCGAAGACATAGCTTAGACAAGGACCCCTATTTCTCAAAACAAAGTTTACTCTACAAACTGCACTACATCTTTTCTTAACTTTGAGTTATTTTTATTTTTCTTTTTTTAAATTTATCTTTATTGATTTTAGAGAGAAAGGAAGGGAGAGGGAGAGAGAGATAGAAACATCAATGAGAGAACTTTGATTGGCTGCCTCCTGCATGCCGCCCACTGTGGATTGAGCCCACAACCTGGGCATGTGCCCTGGCCAGGAATCAAACCAGTGACCTCTTGGTACATGGGTCAATGCTCAAGCACTGAGCCACACCGGCTAGGCAAGGGTTATTTTTTCTAATAGCATTTTAATCACTATTCATAAAAGTCATATATATTATTTTTTTAAAAATCAGACAATACCCACATTGTTAGGTAATTAGATTGTTTTCAGTTTTTGTCCTCATCTGTAATGTTATGACTCATTGCTTTCATGAAATATTTGTGTCCAGATCACATTATTTTCTTGGGGTAAAGTCTTAGAATTGGGGCTAGAAGAAACTTGGAGTTTTGATATGTCTTAAAAAACATATTCTAGCCCTGGACAGTTTGGCTCAGCGGTAGAGCGTTGGCCTGCGGTTCAGAGAGACCTGAGTCGGTTCCCGCTAAGGGCACGTACCTCGGTTGTAGTTTGTCCCCAGCACTAGGTTGGGTCGTGCGGGTGGCAACCACTCCATGTGTCCCTTTTATGTCGATGTTTCTCTCTCTCTCTCCCTCCCCACTCTATCTGAAGAAAAAATGGAAAAATGTCCTCGGGTGAGGATAAACAAAAAAAAAAAACCATATTCTACAGGATCATCTGATAAAAACACATAAGATATGAGTTTGAATCCCATCTCTGTTGCATGTCCTAAGCAAGTTACTTAACCTTCTTAAATGTCCGTTATTTCATCTATAAAATGGGAATAATGTAACTAGTAAAGTCACTATGAGAATTAATTTATATAAAAGTCCTTAACATAGTACCTCAGTGAATGTTCATCATTATTTATAAATGACCAAAAAGCTGGAGAAAAGTCACTTGGCAAGAGTGTTAAATGCCTCTCTACATGTGGAGCTCGAGACTGGTATTCTCTGCTTGTAGTTTTGGTTCTAAAAAGAGGTAGGTTGAATTAGATGATTATTCTTTAATTAAGCATGAAAAGAAGACCAGAATTAGATTAAACAGTGCTTGTGAATCATAGAAGATTATTGAGAAAAACATTTCTACAGAGCATCTTCAAACTCATGTGCCATTCTTTTAAGTGGAACATGGTATTGATATCAGTGATTGTCTTGATGGTTAAATTATTTTACTTTATTGAAAAATCCCCAAACCATTTTTTTTTAAATTTCAGATTAACTACTGCAATGTGCAATGAAGTGGCCTCCTTATCAAAGAAGTTTACAAATTCCTTAACTACTGTTGGGGTAAGATTGAAAGACTGATTCACTTTTACCTTTTTAGGGGAGGTGGGTCTGTGGGGCACTCTGAGGAAGTGGAGGGTTAGGGCCTCCTTTGATAGCTCCACTGAACAGCTCTGCCGTGACATTTACTAAAACTAGGCCACGAGCACCTTGTCTGGGACGGGCGCCGGGGCCGGTCGGACTGCTCCGGCACCGACACTGCCTTCTCGGGCTCCTGAGGCACTGGGTGGGTTTTCGAACCGCGCTGGGCCTCATTTCCTTTACAGTATTTGTTTTTAAAAAGGTGTCAAAGGTTCCCGCCATTACTTAATACTCGAGGTATATAATTTAAGAATAATTAACTTTGAAGATTTGCACTCACTGTTGCCCTCAGAGCCTATCTGAAAAGCCAGCCAAGATGAAAACTTGCTTTGCTTTATCGTTACACTTCAACTTTAACCAAAAGAAAAAAAATTACCAATTGGCATGCATTTCTCTTCTCAAGGTAACAACTTTGAAAGTCTCAGCATTCGATGGAGGTGTAGCTTCTGGTTCTGTTCTTTAGAAATGTGTCATGGCGTACAATTCCACCTTAGTGGAACTAGAGAAGACAAGTGGAAAATAGTCATTTTCAGCCTTTGTACCTCTTCTTTTAAAGCCCTGGATGCAAAGGCAGATGATTCTTTCTTTTATTTTTATTTGAGAAACAGCAGATTTTACTTCCTGTTTTAATTAGAGTGGGGTTGTGTGTGTGTGTGTGTGTGTTGTTACACATGTATTACTTTCCTAGGGCGATAACAAGGAACACAAACTGGGTGGCTTAACAACAGAAATGAGTTGTCTCTGGGCTCCAGAGGCTGGAAGTCCGAGGTCCAGGTGCCGCAGGGCCGTGCCTGCTCTGAAGCCCCTCGAGGAGATCCTGCCTTGCCTCCTCCAGCTCCTGTAGCCACAGACATTGTTTGGCTGTGGCAGCATAACTCTAACCTTCTTCTCTGTCTTCACATTGTCCTACCTCGGAGCATATCTGAGTCCAAACTTCCCTCTTCTTATAAGGACAGTAGTCATATCAGATTACGGTATGACCTCATCTTAACTAATTACATCTGCAATGACCCTATCTCCAAATAAGGTCACATTCTGATGGACTAGAGGTTGGGACTTTAACATATCTTTTGGGGGAACACAATTCCATTCATAACAGGAAGTAACAGAAACAAGCTCTGAATAACTTAGAAAAGGGACTTGATTAGAGGCAGCGGAGGAATGTGAGCAGCAGTGGGGACCCCGCACCAGAGCTCACACACCCTCTCTCTAAAGTGTTGCCATTAATGAGACTCAACTACAGCAGTTCCCAGTTCTCTCCATTTAAATTCTGGGTTCCTGGGTGAGAAGATTTGAGAGTCTCAACAGCGTGAGTCCGATACTCATCTTGGAATCACCAGTAGTGACTGGGGACCGGGTCATATCATGTAGACCTATCTGGCTGCTAGGGTGCACCTCCCTCCCCACAACCCAGGCAAATGGCAGTTCTCAAAAAAAGCGGAAATGGCCCTTGCTGGTTAGAGTGTTAGCCCGTACACCAAAAGGTCGTAGGTTTGAATCTTGGTCAAGGGCATGTACCTGGATTGCAGGTTCTATCCCTGGCCCCAGTTGGGATGAGTGCAGGAGGCAACCCATCAATGTGTCTCTCTCACATCGATGACTCTCTCTCCCCCTCCCTTCCTCTTTCCCTTCCCCCTTCCCTTCCATGCTCTCTAAAAATCAATGGAAAAATATCCTTAAGTGAGGATTAACAAACAAACAAATAAAAAGTGGAAATGATTGAGGACCTGTCAGGAGATGTGTGTCTCCCACACTTCTGTAAGTGATTCAGTTAATAATGCTATGCACCACCGATTCGTCCAGCTGTGAAGAAATCTGGTTTCCTTTTTCTATTTTGTAAAACGTCAGCTTTTATATTTGTCTCATTTTCAGCCTTCAATAACAGAGCTTCACTGCATACAGGCAGAGTGAAGGAGGAGGGGAAGATCATTGATATCATTGGCTCAATAAAATGCAGTAATGTAGTCAGTGTTGTCTAAGTTAACTGACTCCCAAGGACTCTGGTATAACTGCTGGGTTACAGAGAGATGGGAGGTCTTAAGCAGGATGGGCTGGCTCCAGAGGCTCAGCTTCCCAAGGTTCTACTGTACCCTGGTCTTATTGTTTTCCTAGTTTACTAGGTGAGAAACTGAGCCCAGAGAGGTGAACTGATTCACCCAGGCCTTGCAATTGATCTCTCAACTTCCTGTTGGCTGCCCAACAGACAGACGCCTGGTTCTCTATAGTTATCCAGCGACAAGGGTGTATATGCCCACATGTGTGTGTTGTATGTTTTGTGTGGTTCATGGTAAGCATTAATTTGTTTATGTTAGTGGGTAATAGTCATGGTGTTGCTTTCCATTCCTCTTAACATATTGTATTCCAGCCCATGGCTTCTCAGACCTGAAGGAGCAAGTAGATCACCTGGAGATCTTGTTAAAATGCAGATTCCGATTCAGTAGGTCTGGCATGAAGACTGAAATTCTGCATTTCCAACAAGCTCCCAAGTGCTCAGATGTTCCTGAGCCCAGTCTACATTTTGAGTATCCAAGCTCAGCAGACAGGTGTTGTACTTGAGTTTATATATGTGTATGAAGTTGACCCTTGAATAACATAGGTTTGAACTGTGCAGGTCCACTTACATGGAGTTTTTTAAATAAATATTGTAAATGTATTTTTTAATGATTTTCTTAATGACATTTTCTTTTCTCTGGCTTACTCTATTTTAAGAATATAGTATATAATGCATATAAGAAGCAAAATGTATGTTAATCGACTATTTATGTTATCAGTACGGCTTCCTGTCAACAGGAAGCTATTAGTAGTTAAATTTGGGGGGCATCAGAAATTATCCACAGATTTTCAACTGTGTGGGGGCTCAGTGCCCTTAACCCCAAGTTTTTCAAGGATCAACTGTATATATACACATGTGTAAAAATGTTTGTGTGCACAAAATCAGAAACATACAAGTTATTATTTGGGAGAAAGAAAAAGCTAAGTCTAAATAGAGCTCACTGAAATACCACAACAACCCTCCTCCTCCGTGCTGTGATGAATCATTTACATCAAGGCATTGTTTCTGTTCTCCAAAACAACCATTATTCATAACTTGAAGTTAATGAGAGTATATTGCTCTCCAGACTCTATTAAAATTGCTTGCACATCTCATTGATTCTGAAAACCAATGTCATTTTATTGCCCTCATTTTGATTATATTTTAGAGGTTTACTGATAATCAAGTAAACATGAAAGCACATACCATAATGGATTTTCTGGTTAGTTACTAAAATGACTGGGCTTTTAAAGATTTTTTTTTTCACCAAGACTTCATTATGGTTTCCCCAGTAGAGTAATGTCAATGAAAGTGAGCTGCTCTGGGAAGATGTACTTCATTTATATCCTTCTGTTTACCATAAAGTCTTCTTGGTACAGTAAAGGAAAACTAGTCTATTAAGATTGCCCTCTCTTTCCAGTCCCTTTCATTATTTATTGTCTAAGAGTAGATTGAACATTTTAGAGAAGACTTGTTGATGGATAGACCAATAGTGGTGATAATGATGATACTAACACTAGCTCTCATTTTTTGAATACCTACGTTATATCAGGCTCTGTATATCAGGCTCTGTGCTTTACATATGTTCATGTTTTGCAAACTGGGATCTGCAGACATGTTTGCAAGTTATATTTAAGATTGTTTTAATTTTGCTGTTAGTCTGGAAGACACAGCCTATGAATAAATACCCATGTTTTGCATTTAAAAGAAGAAAAAAAGAAAGAAAGAAAAAAAAGGGGCTAATGAACAGGGCTGGGATAAGGTAGCCAAGTAAGGTTCTTAACTCACCTGAAAAACTTAAAGAAGCTCCCCCAAAAAGGCAAACAAACAACTTCAGTCATCTAGTTAAATATTCTGATGCAATATTTTTAAAAATCAAAATGAATGCAAAACAATTTTAAGTAAAGACGGGCTCCAACCCTGCGCTGGTACGACTCCACCTCAGTCCCCTCACCCCAGTCCCAGACCTGCTTCAAGTCTTCACTGGTTACAAAGGTCTGCGTGACATTCAATACGTTACTCAGCCTTCCTGGTTGCCATTTTGTGATCTTTACATTAGGGTTATCATGGTACATACCTACCTCCTAGGATTTCTGTCAGAATTAAAGGAGATCAACTAGGGGAAGCAGCAAATGAAGCCTGGTCTAGAGGAAGCTTTCCACTTCTCCTCTTCGCCTCTCTAAGAGATCCCTCAGCCTTGCCGTATGAGCACCTAATCTGTCCATTTCATCCTTTTCACTCCACAGAGCGACAAGAAGGCCGAGGTCCTTAACCCCATGATCAATAGTGTATTGTTAGAGGTAAGTGGCCCCGGAGAGAAAGTGCTTCTGAATCAAAGCAAACATTAGAGCTACATTTTTTCCCTGGGCAGCAAGTGTTACTGCAATTCTAAATCTTATCCTCAACAATCTTTTTTTAGTACATTTGTGGAGCTCAACCAGCTGTAAACCCTCGGGTAAAGCAACAATACATAATTTTCAAGAATTCTTGATTATAAAGAGAAACGCAAAGCTTGCACGTTATTCCTGCCACTGTTTTCTCCGGCACAAGCAGATTTCTGTTGCCTGGTTTGACACCAGTTTTGACACTGTGATTATTGGCTACAACGAGGGATTCTTGCTCAATGGTGACTTTTGTAAAAATGGGCACTCCCGTCATCCACAATAGTCTTAGGTTTAGCTGGGTCTAAGCTCCAGATGGCAAAATGACAGGTAGACTGTTTAGCCTCTGCCTGTTCAGTGACCAGAGGTGCCATCCTCTGCAACCACTCATTCCGAGGCCTGTCCATGCACCAGGACTCTGTAGCATAGATAGGAAGCTGCCCTGACACCTCTGTGTCTTTGCCAGAAACACTGATGTAAGAGAGGCTCAGGAACATTCCTGAGTCATAAGGTGCTGTGTACCACCTGTGGTTGGTGGAGGAGAACCTCCCGTTAGGGGCTGCACAATAAGAAACAGACATATCTGTAGCCACACGGCACCCAGCTGAAGTCATAAGGTGCTAACATGTTAAGTGTAAATATGGGCAGTGCATGTACTGCAGTGTTTTGCAGTCTGAAGTAGCTGTCAATTGCAAAATTTGGAAATTACAGAACTTCAAGTAAGGGAGGGCTACCTATATATTTATAGACACATTTTTAGGAGTCATGCCTTACTGTTAAAGAAAACTACCAAGGTACCAAAAAAGTAACAAAGTGGCGGCACCGAGTGTTATTGTGTAGGACACAGCTACACATGGGGTGGAGCCAACCAGCAGGGACAAGGAGTGTAGGGGCAGGTTCCGGGGGGACAGATGTAGTTAAGAGGAAACCCAAGCAATCAGAATATGAAACAGGAAAGTCCCCTGGCTACCCAGAAGGCTTAAACAGATTAATTTACCATGTCAGTCATAAAGAATATGAGGTTGAATATTTATTCATTCTCCCAGTGGAAGTTTTCTCATGCTTGAGTTACCTGAAACTCTAAATGGCCCCTCCCTCTGAGGCTGTATGTTTAGAGCACCACAGAACATGCCTGACTACATCCAACACCAAACCAGGTAGAAGGTACCAAGCACATGGGAGGGTGTTAGCATGCAAGGTTGGCTGTGAATAATTGCACAATATTTCCATTGCTTTATGCAGACCATTCTTGTTTATTCATCTATTAGTTAGGACAAACTAGAGCTCTCTTCATGCTTTTATATTATTTCAGGAAAGTGGGGTTGATCTGGGAAGAGAATAGTTAAGACTGGACATATTGGGTCTTGAGTTATACACATTATATATATGCCCTCAAGTCTATGGAAATAACTCATCTCCTTTTGAGTGAATTCTTCTCTCTGTTAGTGTAGACCATTAAGAGCTGGACACATCCATCCCAAGGAATGTGTTTACATTTGCTTTAAGTACCAACATTACAAGAAAAATACTATAAAATATTGTGGGGCTTGATGAGAGAGGGAACATGATCCAGCTGGAAGAATTGTCAGGCTTGAACTGTGAAAACAACCCTTGAACCGCATTTCTCCCCTCTCAGGGCTGCAATAGCATGACATACATCCAGGATGCCCTCCAGCTGCTGCTGCCCATTCTGCAGGTTTCACATCTTCAGACCAGTTGTTCAGAAGCACAGCCATGACCTGGCCAGTCCACCCAGTTCAAGGAAACAGCAGGCCACATGGCTTTGATATATGTATCATCGAAGGTGATGTCTTCTATGCAGCTGGCTACAGACACCAGTTTGAGGACACTACAAGCAATTTTGCACAGACAGTATTGAGAATGCAAGTTTAAAGAGAATATAATTTCTCTTAATGTATATGGTTGTTTTACAAATAATTGTGTTTTCTTGGTGTTAATTTAAACCTACACTGCTTTGTATTGGTAATTTCCTTTCATCTGAAATTCATTCACAAATACTCATTGCCATTTTTCTGTTCAAGCAGCCTATATTTAGAAATTCATGAGCAGACCCTAGACTTTTTTTTAACCCTTTAAATTTCCACCTTTACATTTTTCATTCTTATAGTGTTACTTTAAAGCAGTTCTTATACTGAACTTAGTTTTGTTATATAAGTGTCATGGACAAAGATAACACTACTTATAGATTTACCTATAATAGTTAAAGAGGAATATAAGTATCTCTTTAGAGCCATTCACTCTTGAAACAAGCATTTATTGAGCTCATACTGTGTGCTCACAATAATGGAACATGATCTCACCCCAAAAGAGACAGATTGAAAGAGGGTTTATAATAATTCTTAACTGCTTTAAAATACTAATAAATTTTCTGAACCTTAAAAATGTAAAGAACAAGTTACATTCATGATTTTTAAAATGTTCTACCCTTCAATTCATTGTATTTTTTTCACCCTTTCTGAGCTTTTTTATCCCACATTTAGTATATGGGGTGAAAATATATGTGAAAAGGTGTACGACACAGTATTTAGTTTAAAATAGAAAATTAAAGGTATTTCAACACAGTAGACCCCTAGGACTGCATTTTTAAATCTACTACAGTGGAGTCAGACTGTTTTGTGAATACACGATCATATTCACCAGAAGCCAATACCATCATTGCTTCTAAGGGGCAGGAAATACTGATGTGTGGTTTGACTGACTGGTACATTGATCTATGAAAGGCTGCACAGAGGACCCTGCAGCCAGGACAGGCATTGCCAATGGGCATTTCTCTTCCTGAACTGCATATGTTCATTCTGGGGTGGGGTGCTGTGTGACGCTTCTCTTTTAGACATCCTCACAGGCACTGCCACGAGATATCTTGGCCCGTGGCTCTCCTTGGTGTATCGGAACAACGCTCTAACCAACTGAACTACCCAGCCAAGGCCAAGAGATCATTATTCTTTAAAAAGTGAGTTATATACCCTGGCTGGTGTGGCTCAGTGGGTTGGAGCATCGTCCAGTGCACTGAAGGGTTTTGGGTTCAATTCCTGGTCAGGATCTGTATGGGAGACAACAGATTGATATCTCTCTCTCTCTCTCTCTCTCTCTCTCTCTCTCTCTCTCTCTCTCCCCCTCCCCCTCTTCCTCTCCCCCTGTCTCTCCCTCCCTCCCCACCCTTCTCCCTCTCCCTCTCCCATCCCCCTCTCTAAAATCAATAAACATATCCTTAGGTGAGGATTTTTTAAAAAGTGGGTGACATCATTTACATTGCATTTTCATGCCTTTTAAGGATACTCGCATATTGCCAGGTGAGGACAAACTGAGAGATGATTCCCAGAGCCTAGCTTCATGGTCTGTGAATTACATTATTTTAGAGAGAATACTCACTTAATATATATCCACCCTCCAGGATTGCTCTCTTTCAACTCTGTTTTTCACCATCACTTTTAAATAATTGCTTCTTTACTTTGCTTTAAAAGCTGGCAGAACACAGGATCAAATCTGGTCAAATTTCATTCAGTTACTGAATGAATGATTTAGCAGGCTTACTTCAATAGTCCTTTACATAAATTGGGTTCATTCCACTCTGTGCAATGAACAAGCTTGCCAGATTTTTCTTACATCAAATGCAAGATAAGTTCTAGTCTAAATAATGAATGTAGTTCTGTGCCTGTGCCTTATTAAATAAAAAGCATCAAAGCCAATTTTAAATTCAAAGCAAAATGCGGCCAAGGAAACTTTCTTTGGGGTATTGATACATACACTGCTAAAGGCCAAAATCAAGTCCCAAATCTTAAAGCAGAGGCCCAGCCCTATCTTAAATATTCTCTCCCCCTGAGAACAGATATCTGTCTTTTCTCTGGGTGTCTCACAGAGCTGCGTGTCCAGCTGCTCGTGGTTAAGCGAGTGGGTGATGAGCTTGAGGCGGTGCAGGCCTGAGCTAGTTCCTTACACCAGCTGAGGCGCCATGGCCCTTGGCTGCAGAGCTCACGGGATGAAAGAAACACCGGCCCTGGGCAGCCTGAAGGAGAGTGCTCAGTGCAGGGTCAGTATCTGAATCCAGAAACGAGAGCATTTCTGTTTTTGTGGAAGTCACCTGTCCCGTACTTGCATATCTGGGAAGTCACCTTCTACGCAGGACAGCCACACTCACTTAAGTTAGATGAAAAGCAGGCAGATGCCAGTCATAGTGATCCCAGAAGTCCTGAACATAATGTGTCTTAAGGAAGTAATTTAGCAAAAATGTGAAATAAACATATTTCTCTTCTTTCCTAAAAATATGTATGTACACATATATCCTGTATGTGTACATATATATGTATGCTGAGCAGATGGGGTGGATCATAATCATGACTTCAATCTGTATTTAATTTTATAAAAGCAATGGTTCTTCAGGGTCAAGCTAATTTTTGTAATGGAAAAAATTGCCCTTTGAGCTTCCTGTCACGTGTGCCCTACATTTTTATATTCAGATCCAGCTTCAACTTGGTTTCTTAAATTCTTGTGTCTGTAAAGGCAAAACAGAAGAGCTCATACTGAAAATTCATCTTAGAGCTATACTTTTTCCCTGGTTTTATTGTTGATTAGAATTCAAAAAGCCACAGGAGTGGATTCAGATAAAAGAAAAAAAATCCTATGTTAACCATATGTTTCATTTTTCTAGATATCTCATTACTTATTCAAGTTTATGTTCATTTTCTGTGTGTTCATCTATAATAGATGCTCCATTCAATATCTGCTATTAAACAAATATGAGGAAAGACATCATTCTGTTCTTTTTATTTTATTTATTTATTTTGCTTAGGTCCTAAAAATAATCCGAGTTATCCTACCCTTTGAGCATTTTACCTTCAGCAATGATTAAATTATTACAACCCAACAGTGAGAAATGTATTGATTGTGTTTCTGATATGTCTCTGGCGTCTAGGGTCGCCATAGGCTGGGAATACAGGCTGGTTATGGAAGGTCGAGATTTTGTGTTGAGATTTAAACTACACCTAGCTTTGATCAAAGGGTGCTTTTCTCTGCATGAGCTGTCAGCCAAAAAGAAACAGGATTATGTCTGCCAGTGGTCACTGCTGACTCACTTCACAGGCCTGTCTCTTATGAGTCTCAAAGTAATTCTGTACTGCTAAAGAATAATGTATACGTTTCTTACATGCCTTCACCGAGTGCAGAAGTCTAGGGCAATTCAGAGATGGTGTATCTCCCTGACCTGAGTTGCAACACCAGGCTTCTAGAGCTGCCATTTGGAGGGAAAAACCAGTGTAGAAGCCAAGGCCAGATGGAAGAAACCTTGGCAGAAAGCAAGGCCAAGCCTCTGCCTTTGAGTCCCTGCCATCATTATCCTTTTTCTCTCCCAGGATTTTTTTTTTTTTGACAGTCATTAAGTGCCTCTTTTCCAGGATCAACTTTTAAAGTCCCACCTTTTTTCCATATCTCTTAATCTTTTACTCTTTCTCTATACTTTATATTATCCTCTCTCCATTTATCTCACCATAAAACAATCCATCCAAAAAACCTAAATAATAATAATTAATATGTATTTACCATGTGTTGGGCACTGTGCTGAATGTTTTATGTGCATTATCCCATTTAATTTCCATAATTACTCGATTGGGTAGATATTACAGTTGCCACTGTGCAAATGAGAACATTGAGACCCAGAGGAATTATATAACTCATCTGATGTTATACAACCAGTAAAACAGAGCCAGGATTCAAACCCAGGTCAGTGTGACCTGACTCGCTAGCATTTTAAACTATTATGCAGAGCTTCCCAATGAAAGAGAAACCTAACGTTATTTTCAGAGACATCTGAATACATATAGGATTAGCTCCCTTTGTGCCGTGAGGTGGATTTATAGCTGAAAGATTTGGTCGTCCACTTTGGTTGTTTCCATGAAACCAAGAGCAAGCTGGGACTAAAGAGACACAGAATGAAGCCATGAGGTTTTGGGGGCCCCGGGCTGTTCTCACCGCAGGCCTCTCCATCCCCCTTCACAGACATCCACAGCCAGCAGCTTCCTGGTCATCATCAGCACAGCATCCTGTCTCACAGGTGCCTTTGCTAAGCCTCAAATGGCTTCACTTCCTCCTCCCACCCGCTTCTCTGGTGCCAAGGAAGCCCATTTGTAAATCACCACCCTTCCTGAAAATCCTTAACCCTCTACTACCTGTCTGGAGCATGGGGCTTTTTAATGCGCCTTGCCTTGAAGATTACCAACTTGTCTAACAGTCGTTAGTATCCGAATCTTCAGTATCAGGTGCTGTGACATACTGATAAATGTTTTAAAGATGTACTGAATAGTGGCTCTTGTCCCTTCACATGGTGCTATTTCCTATTAAACCCAAGAGATGATGGTGGTGGTGATGGTGATAGTGGTGATGATGATAATGATGCTGATGGTGGTGGTGTACTTATTTATTGAATACTTACCTGTTAAATAAGAATCTTAACTTCCATGGCTGAAAACCTTTGTAAAAGGAAGGGTTTATGGGGCCACAAAGGACCAGGTCCTGGGGCATAACGTCTGAACCAGCAGCAGCAGCAGCAGCAGCAGTAGGTAGAAAAGGCAACATGTCCATCATTCTGGAGTGGATGGGCTTTTTTATGCACAAAGCAGGAGAACACAAGATGCAAGTTGTTGTGAAAGCATTTACATTTTCTACAGATAAGGGGGTGGGATAATTAAAGCAGGGGCAGTTCTGGGATAGGTGCAGAGTCCATAGGAAGAAGTGGTTGCTCCTTTGGATTGGCTGTGGGCAAGTCGGGAAAGTTCATGTGCAAGCAAGAAATGGTGCTTGCGGGGGCATGGCGGCCCTGGCTGTTCTCTTTAGAAGATCACAGAAATAGCCAATGAAGTTAATTCAAAGGTCCAGCATACACTCAGGAATAGGAGCAGTCTTTTGTCAGCCAGCGCTGAGGTTGTTAGTTAAATGATTAACCTCTTCTTGGCTTTTTCTCCCACCCTTTTGCCCGCGTCGTTTAATTTAGGACATGTCAGAATGTTCTTCCTGTCATTACTATGTTCCTGACATTTTACCTCCATGATCTTATTTAATCCCCAATGTCAGCCATATAAAAGAGCTATTATTATCATACCCATTTTACAGATGGAAGATAAAGCTCAGTGAAATTAAATAATCACCTAAGGTTATCCAACAAAGAATTGGAAGAGCTAGGATTCATATTCAGGTGGTACATAAAATGCTAGACAGAACCCACAGAGAAGCAGCTTCCTGGTCATAATAAAGGAAAGTTGCTCATTTTCCCTTGGGTTGAGTTTTTCCTTTCCAGCTAATACCTGGGCTCTCCACCCTCCATCCTGTGGCCTCAGGCAGAGACAAATTGCTCCACAAATCTCCCTGTCAGAGGGCTGACCACATTTTTCCTGCCAATGCCTCTGATCCCAAGAGAATGTGGGTAGCCTGTGTGTCCCATTCTCCCTCGTGTTATAAACTTCATGTTGGTTGATCCATTTCTCGCTGAAAACTATGACTGCCTTTTGATACTTCTGCCGGAAAGCTCTGCTCTGCTATCTTTAGGAAAAAATCCCACTGCTAGGAAATGTGATAAGGGCAAGAAACCAAATGAACTGTGGGGCAGAAAGACTGTGGCCATTTGTCAGGAAGAATGAGTTGGTCCTGGAGGGGCATCTTCGTCAGAGAGGCATGGGATAAGTTTCTTCCAGACTGCCTCACAGCTCCCAAGCCTCATTTTTTTGTTTTTTGGGTTTTTTTTTGTTTTTGTTTTTCATGTCTTTATTCAAAAATCACCTTCTCAATGAGGTCTCTCTGAGTCAAATTGCAACCTCCCAATATTTTATTTTCCCTTCCCCTGCTTTGTTTTTTTCTCCTAATAATGTGTCAGTAGTTTACATCCTTTGTATCTTACTTATTTGTCTATTATTTGTCTCATAAGTGCAGGGATAAGACATAA